CCCCAGACCCCCCCCAATGAGGTTTTATTTAGTTCGTACAAACACAGGGTTTGGGGAATATCGCAACACGCGCACACCACAATCTCTCCATAGGAAGCGGCGCGCACTTGGACGCTGCACGGGTGACTGCTGTTGCCGAGCCCAAGCAAACACAAACCAGTTAGCCCCTACTCAAGAACTGATCAAATAGAGTTCGTTCACCGTCGTTCATTTTGCATCACGTTGAAAGATAACACTATACGACTTTCCAGATTGCAAAAGTAATGATGTCTTCATTACCGTCGCTAATGGCTTCAGTGAAGTTTAAGATCTTCTTTAATGGCCTTCCACGTTTTGGGAGCTTCGGGTCCGAATATTTTGCAGCGTTTGGTCCGGTCAGAAAAAGTCCGATTCCTCGTTGACTTTCGGGCGTGAGCTCCCTAACAGTATCCATGGCATTAAAGTACTATAATATGGTTAACATGTTTGTCTCCTGTAAGATTCTAGCGGCTTTGGCATGGACAGCCCATTTTTGGCTGGAGGAATGAACTTGTACGGTCGGAACATTATTTATTCTTAATTTCAGGGAACGAGCCGAAACTTGACCAGGTCTGCGTAAACTTTTCGTAATCGGGAGGCCCTTTGCGGAAAGGCTGCGGAAACTGCGGAAACCTGCGAAAACTATAAAATGAATATGTAACGATGTTTTTTAGCTCTTCTCAGTGTGGCGATAACTTGGACAGTCTGAAACCATCTTGTGGCAGTGCGGTTCTGTCCGGTGGGATTCCACCTTCAACAAAGGCACGGAGCTGCTTGGCGTGGGTGCTGGCGACAACTTGATCCGAAGCGCGGGCGGTGTCGAAATGGCGGTTGAGGAGCGTCTGACGAGACGCCCGCTTGGCTGTGACGACCTCAGAAGAGGATGCAGCAGCATCCTTAGCTAGCAAGGCCTTGTAAAACGCGCTGACCTCAGGCGCAATGGCAGTGCACTCCTTGGCAAGGTGTAACCGGATTTCAGGAAGGCGCGCCCGCTTCCAGTGGCGACGGCAGGCCTTGCAGGTGGCATAACAATTCTTGCTGTTGTCGTAAGGACCTCTATCAAAATGTTTCCAAACGTCGTCAACGGGCCTTCCACCCTTCTTCTGAGCAGAAACACAGTCAATCTCTATGACTTCGGCACCCCCCAGGTCGGAGCCAGTGGTTGTTGACATTTTTCTTAATCAATATATTTTCAATAATCAACCGCCCACCATGAAAGTATACCTACTCGGTAAAACGAAACCAAATCCTTTACACCCAATAGTACAGCTTGATCGGTGCTCAATCATAAAGGATGTGAGCAACGACTTGGGTTCCATCTTTCACGACGGCAGAACCGTGATGTTTTCACGTTTTCACGATGACATTGCTGAGATCGGTCGAGGTTGCCATGAAGACTGCATAATGCGGGGATAGGAAATGAATCCACCAACTGGTCGACGTATGGGCGCCTCGCCCGTTCATTAGGTGCAAATCGTTTCCAGTTTGATGAAGCTGACCACGCCTAAGAATAGCACGCAAGGCGAAGGTAAGATGATATAATACGAGATTGCAGTAACGAAACGAAATCACACAAATTATACTACCAGTGCTGACATCCAGATTCGAACTGGAGACCTCCCGCTTACTAAACGGGTGCTCTATCCAACTGAGCTATGCCAGCCCTACGGTTGCTGAAATCGATATCTCTCGGATATAATTAACGCCATGCACGTATGATGGGAACAGATTTTACATCTGCATTCTCCGGCCCGTACGTCTGTGAACTGTAAAGAGCCAGACACTACTACGAACGACCTATTTCGCTGTCCAAGGAACACCGCCCCACATGGTCTACCAGCATCAAGCCGAGAGATTTGCGGTTGCTGAGGTCGTTAGCAGACGTGAGCAGTCGGTACCTGTTATGTACAATTACTGAGCATCTGACAATTGCAATAACGTAGGAAAATTAGTATCATTCTACCATTTTATTTTGTGATCTAATAAATACGGGTCGCGCAACTTATGGCGACTCAGGTGCTCTATGGTCGACGTAGCATCCCCTGTGTTGGAGACACCTCAAGTGGCTCAAACCGCCTTTGGTATCATAGGTATACCAAACTATTTGCTTGCCAGAAGGTTGGGAGCATTGATTGGGACAATCGCAAGTTCACTTGTAAGGCTCTGCCACCCAGTCTTACCACAGACACAGACCTGACGAGTCAGACCATATCCGATGGACCAAGCGAACATAATTTATTACCTTTGGCTCAAAACGTCCGGATGGAAGCGTCAGACTCCATGTCTTCTTCAAGATTGGTTTCCAACGAGGGCCGACTTAGACGCGATCCACGACTCCTGGCAGCATTATCTGTGACGCTTGCACTTGTTGGTGAAATATCATATACCTGGCTATCAAAACAGACCGCGTTGCCATCATTGGCCGACATCATCGCTGGTCCGCTTCCGTCCACGCTGGCGTTCTTGATTTGTGGCTTTCCAGTCGGGATTGTGGCGGCTAAGATCGCCCTGGGAGATTTATTTCACGTTGAGCTTCACAGGTACGCACCAGACTCCAGCATGGCCCGCAACTCACTATCCGTGTACGTACGGAAGGCGTGTACGTACGGAAGGGGTAACGCAGACGTAACCATGACAACGTCGACCGACCGACGGACGCAGGTGGCTAACATCGCCATGGGGGCTCCGTGTCCTGTGTTGCCTGTCCATACGATGGCGTTTAAGTCTGGTCAAAGCATTTCAAGAAGACACATGTGCACGTACGTGCATACGCATACGCTCACCACCAACGCACACGCGGCCCGCGGTTTCCATGACGCACATCTGAATGGGGTCGGGCCGGCTATGTAAGCCGATGGGTTGGAAGGTGCATGGCGGGCACTGAGCGGCCTGAAAGTAAGGAGTGCCTTCCTAGATTGACAGGCCAGTGTTTACTTCACGGGAAAGCACCACACCCCTCCGCGGCTGCGTGATGTCACCTGCAAGTGCAGTTTACCGCTGATCTTATCTAGGGGGGACCAAACACTTATCACATTTATGTGTAGACAAATTTATGTGTAGACAAATTTCTTAATAAACGCATGTACACACCTCCCAGAGTGTCGTTTGCAGTCTCCGTAGCGCTGCCCGCCCTTCAATATCCAGACTTTAAACGCAGCGACCCATTCCTATTCGTATTTTCGCACCAATCCTTCCGTATCGTATCGAGGTTTATTCGTACATGCCACCATTATGTGTGCCGTGAACCGCTTTCAGAGGCCGTCTGTACATCTGTACGGGTGTGCCCTCAAGCGGCCCTCCTCTGGCGGCGGGAGCAGTCGTGGTCCGCCCAACAGGGGACGGTCGCGGCAACGGCGCCTATGCTGCAGCCCTCATTCCCGCGGGTACTCACATCGCCGACTACGCCGGTGAGCTGCTGGACCGAGCTGCCTTCCTGGCCCGCTACCCAGACAGCGTGGTGAGATCAGGTCCTTGGAATGAACCCCTGGCTTCCTTTCACGGCGGGGATCAGGTCCAGATGCGGATCTGCTGAATAAGACCATCCAGATCTGGACAGGGGCAGGGGTATGGGCAGGGGCAGGGGTATGGGCAGGGGCAGAGATATGGGTATGGGCAGGGACAGGGGCAGGGGTATGGATATAAGCAGGGGCAGGGGTATGGTTTGTCGGACCCGGATGGATTGTCGGCGGTATGACCGATCATACTCTGGGAGCTAATGATGGTGGGTCCATCGTATGATGGGTAAGGGTAAGGCTTACTTTGTATCTCTCAATGAAAATAAGCGGCGGCGGAGGGCATCGCATGTGTGAGTGATGCTTTAAAAACAATAGAATTAGCTTCCCGTCCAAAGCTGATCCCGTCCGTTAGCTTTAAAGTTGTGAATCCTTACGATTTTGTTGTTTTCCTGGTCCTATTCCCAATGACCCGTGAAAATGATTTAAAGGAGCTCTGACTATTCCTAATGACCCGTGAAAATGACCTCATAACGATGACCCGTAACGCACAATTCACGGTGGCCAGGGAAACTACGCGATGGCAATCGACGATGAGTGGGTCATCGACGCCGCGGCGTTTGCGCCATGCACCTCCAGCTTCCATGCCGTACATATGAACCACAGCCGTACCCGCGCCAACGTACGGAGGTACTACAAGCGCAGCGCTGGCAGGGTAAGCTTCTTCGCTGCACGAGATATTCAGCCCGGAGAGGAGCTGCTGTACGACTACGGCAGGGCATACTGGTACGGCAGGGAGCATCTTGAACTTCCGTGAGGGCGCGAGACCCTCGGGAGGCACGGCATAACAACTCCGTTGTTTGCGCATGCCGTACTTGACTCGTGTTACGATTTGGAACATAGGTTACGTCAGCACGCTTAGGCGCCCCGAGTGGCGCGTAGGGGCACCGTGTACGCGTAGGCGTGCCGTGTGATTTAAAGAGATCTGAACTGCAAAGTTAGAAACAAGGGACGTACGGCACTCATGCGACCTGGCGCCACCACGGCGGACGGGTTGCTGGCGTTTCTTTCCTTTTCTCACGTGGACGACCTACAATTTGCTGGGGCTCGATGGGGGGCCTTCATAACATCCAGCTTTGGGATTTCGCCAAGTTTCGGGTTAGAATGCTACTTGTCGTGGGTCGTAATTCGCCGTGAAGTGGATGGGTTCCGTGGATTTCGGTTTGTATGGATGAAAAAATGATCGGGTAGTTTATAAGCGGTTGCAATGGCTAGACCTTCGTCAGTGCTGCAAGTTGAACGTTCACCCGTGTTTATCTATACGTCGTAGCTCCAGCACCGTGTCGGGTTTGAAAGTGCTCATGTGCCTCGTGGCTGCACTGCAAGGCTGGCGGCCCACATTCGTTAGATTTTGTTACGCGGTGGCGACTAGGTTAGGGTTGACGACTGTCGGGCATGAAGGGCGAGCGTGCGCTGCCGTCTGTAGGGTTCTTCCGGTGTGAGAGGCCCTCGTGCGGGACTACAGCCAGCCGTGGGGGCCCCTTTGCCCGTGTGTGTGTGCGCGACACGACGACACATTTTGGGTGATCTAAGGGACGGAGCGACAAGGGCTCCGAGGGCCCCCGTCAGCTCCCTCAAATCCTCAATGCCTTCAGTTCATTCATTCCACTTCATTTTGCTGCGTGTTCGGTACTTTTGGCTTACATTTGCTTACATTTGTGCAGTGTCGTACTCTCAGTTAGTGCTGTACAGCACAGTTGCCAAAATGTTTAAAATTGATCAATTGATCATGACTTGAGATGCATTGTGCAGGAGTGAGAAATATGCTGCATGTGTGATGATCCGACTGTGTGGGCGATTATGGAAAGAGGTTGGAATGGCGGGGTGAGATATTAGAGAGAGAGAGATTTATGTCATCGCCACTGCGGAAGACATGTGTGCGGTGTGGAGGAGCGTTCTGGCATGATTTGTATCGACTTGGAGCAATTTGGAGTGGTTTCCAGTGTTTGTAGGTTGTTATGAAGTAAGTTATACATTCAGCGGAGAGTGTGTTCAAAGTGGGTAATTGTCGTGGCCTTGGTTGTACTGCACGTGTCCCAAGTCTCCGTCAGACTTCGTCCTGATGGTGGTCACCAACAGACATATGAGGATTAATTTTGGCTGAGAGTTGCAGTTAAACAATCGGGTCACCCAGGCAAGTTGTGAGAAGAGTCCCACCGTAGCCCAATTTAGCAACAGTGCGAAAGGTCCTTAAATGTTTGACGGCTCCGCAAATAGCACGTCTTCTGTGTCCAAACCCTAAGTTGCCAATAACTGCAGATGCTGTCGTGCCGACGAGCTCCACGCCGCGACCTGCGCTGACCGACCGCCCTACCTCTCGAGCACAGGCTCCAAGAACCCATTAGATCCCATAAGGATTAAGCTTCAGAAGCTTTTCGTTGTGTCAGATGTAGGCATGCCTGGATAACAGCGTTTACGATGATCGCGAGGATTACAAGCCTCTCTTGAGCTCGTAAGGCCCGGACTGGCCAGGAGACTCACAGACAAAATAACTCTGGGAGAGAGAAAAAAATAGAGGCACGGTGATAAAGGAAACAAACGGGACGGGGCAAACGTGAATGAGGGAAAGACACCAAAGAGACACCAATTTTAAGGTAGTTTCAAAACGTCCAAAATTCGCTTCTTACTCAGGCGAACTGCAGTTTTTCACATCATCTCTTGCAAAGCTCACTTGTGCAATTGATGATGTAGAGTTACATGCCAGGTTGAAATTGGGAAGCTAACACCTGTACGATCACAACCGAAGATCGATTTCCAGTCTACTGAAGGAAGAATACTCGATACCTGATAATGCTATACCATACATATATAATTGGTGGGAAATGCAGTTGAACAGGAGTGTGGTACCAACAGCGAGCAGGGTGCCCGCAGCATCCTGCGCGTGAGTTATGTCCTAAATCCAGGTAACAAAAACTGGATGCGATAAAATCATAATTGGGTCATTTTTTCCACAGGCTACCTCTGTCCCTGCCGTCTGCTTGCACGACCGGTCGCTCCTTGTCTGCGTCATTCTCAGAGGTATGAATTTTAACTTCACTATAACTATTGCAGCCGTAGTAAAGTAGAGCTTTTCCCGCAGGTCGATGATGCTCATCAGCAGACGCATGGCCGCAGACGCATCGCCGCGTCGGCAACCAAAACGCCATACCCACCGCCTAGCCGTGTAATCCCAACGGAGGCCCCCACAGACGTGGAATACGATGCTGTGATCGTGGGCGGCGGAATGGGCGGCCTGGCCACAGCGGCACGCCTGGTCGCTAAGGGTGCGAAGGTGGTGGTCCTCGAAAAGTAAGCGCGGGTCTCGTCCCAGGAATTCTCCATGGCAAAGGGAACGCCATGACAGGGCGCTTCTTGGTGCAATAGTTAGGATAGCGATGGAGAAAAGTTTGGCAGGCTCAGCCAAGTCGTCGTACGCCTCGTTGAGAACAACTTGTGGGCCGGGGGTTCCGTCGCGATAAAGAAGTCATGCTGTATATTCTGGCTTTCGGGGTTGGGGACTTGGGTGAGTTCCCCCATCCCCTTTTTGCCATAAGGCGCCTGGCGAGACAGTGTGCTGCAGAAGATCAGCAGGGACACACGCCAGCCAGGCGCCACGCGCTCTCTGTCTGTCTGTCTGTCCGTCTGTCTGTCCGTCTGTCTGTCCATCTGTCATCCTTCTGTCCCCTCTCTAACCCCGCTGCGGACGTTCTCCACCTTCGCCGCCGTCAGCACCATCGCAACCACTGCCACGCCGCCAGTGCCACTGTCACTTCCCCACCGCCTCACATCCACATTGCGTCCGCTTTCCTTCCCGCCTTCCCCGCAGGTACTTGTTGCCAGGAGGCAGTGCGGCCCATTTCAAGCGCGATGGCTACACCTTTGACGTGGGGTCCTCCATGATGTTTGGAATGGGTACGTGATGGCTGCCGGCAGTTGGCAGCTGAAGGCGGAAAAACTCAAGAGTGACAAAAAGCGGCTAAGGGCTGCTTCTTGGACATGAAATGCTAGCCAGCTACTGGTGCTTACCAAAGTATCATTTGCGTTGCTGCTGACAACCTGAAGAACCTCCGCGTCACTTTCGTTACATGACCTAGTTTGCACGGGGCCAGAATCTACTGAGGAACTTGGTGTACGACCCTTGGTGTACGTATGTCGAAGGTGGAACATAAGGGAATAGCAGCCGAAGATTGGGGAGATGGCGTAGGAAAGGGTTGGACTGGCAGCTGCTATGTGCCATAGCCCCCTCGCCTCCCCTGTCGTGCTTCCATGAGGCCCTAGCATGGCTCTTCTCCCCGGCCTGCCCTCCAATCGATTACCATTCCCTCCCCCAATGGACGTCTCTCGCATGTCCCTTTCCGCCCTCTTTCTCGTACGCCCGCCGATAATCACGTACTGCACATACACACACGTACTGCACATACACACACGTACTGCACAACGTGCATACAACCCTCACTCCCCCTGCGCTACAGGTCACGAAGGCACCACCAACCTGATCACCAAGTGTCTGGAGACGGTGGGCCGGAAGATGGAGACCGTGCCGGACCCCACACAAGTCGTGTACCACCTGCCCAAGTCCGATAGATTTCCCAAGGTAGGTTGGCTGGTTGGTTGGTAGGTAGGTTGGTTGGTTGGTTGGTTGAGGGAAGTGAGGAGACGGGAGAAGAGTTGGGAAAGGAGGTACGTGTTGTAGCGGTTGTAGCAGCGGTTGTGGCGTTGTGGCGGCGGTACAGGGGGGTGTGACGATACCTTCAGCGGTAGTAGCGGTAAGAGTGGTTTAGGGTTTAAGGTGGTGGTGTTGGGCGCATGGAAACTTGTACGACTTGAGTAGGTGCCAGAGGCTGTGACAGGTGGTGAGCTGCAGCGCGCAGATTGCTTTGAAACCGGAAAATGAAAAGCCAAGGAAGAAGCACTGCAAGTCAAAGAAGTGTCATGTTTGCAGGGTCTTCATGTTTCTGTCTGGCGCAAGTACGAGGAGTTTCTGGATGAGTTGGCTCAGCGCTTCCCCGCGGAGCGAGAGGGCATTAAGAAGTTCTACGACGAGTGCTGGAAGATTTTCAACAGGTACCTGTCTTCAACGACCAAAATCGCGGTTGGCTATCTGTATTTTATATCTGTCAAAATGCGATACAATAGGCGCTGTGGCTTGATTGCCTAATTTGGCACCAGAAGACCGGGCTTGTAACTGGTCCAGAGCCTCCCGAACAAAGGTGCTGGACACGAAGGATGAGGAGACGACAGCGTAGTCCCCGAAAGGGATATACCCTCAGTGCTTAACAGGCAAACATGCCCTGCCCCTGGAGAATCGTTTTCGTGTTCCATACATGCGGGGTTGCGTTCCCGGGGTTTTCCTCTTTTCCTAACGCCGCCTCTCCCCCTCTCCCCTCCTCTCCCCGCCTTCTCCTCCCTCCCCCCAGTCTCAACGTGTTGGATCTCAAGTCCCTGGAGGAGCCGCGCTACCTGCTCGGGGAGTTCGCCAAGCAGCCCCTGGCGTGCCTCACTCTTGCCTCCTTCCTCACCACCAACACCGGGGATGTGGCACGAAAGCACATCAAGGTGGGGGACATGCGGATGAATGGATAGGTGAATGGAGGGATGGAGGGATGGATGGATGGGGTGGGGGATGGAGGGGTGGTGGCTGAACGCGGGAGGAACGGCTCGGTGGACTTGGAAATGGTTGCGTCGGGTCGCGGTTGTGTGGGAGCCAGGAAATGGAAAGAAGCCCGACCTGAAGGTCGGTCCGTTTCCCTTTGCTTTGTTCTTTACTTACTCCGTTGCGACTCCCTTCAGGATCCCGAGCTGCTCCGCTTTATCGACATCGAGTGCTTCATCTGGTCCACAGTCTCAGCCGACCTGACCCCCATGATCAATGCGGGCATGGTGTTTTGCGACCGGCACTTTGGCGGCATCAACTACCCGGTTGGCGGCGTGGGCCGCATCGGAGAAGAACTGGCGGAAGGTGGGTGCCAAGGTGGTGATGTGTGGGCCTCCCGTCTCGCTTGAGATCAGGTCGGGGTCTGGTGAGCGCAGGTCAGGAGGGTATGTCGCGGGTATGTCGCAGGCCGGGGCTTTACGGCGGTACAGGAGGATGGGGGAGAGGGCGTAATTGCAAGTTAGAAATTGTATGTGCGGAATTTATAAGTTCCAAACATGCACTACGCCCCCCATGGACGGGGCGTAATAGATTTGGACGGTTGGGACGGACGGCTTTTAGCGGCGGGCGGGATGACAGCATAGAAGCAGCTTGGGCCTCTTGCTGACACCTGCACTAACGCATGTACAGGTATTGTCGAGTACGGCGGTCACGTGGTGTACAAGGCCAATGTGAAGGAGATTATTGTGGAGGGCCCTTTGGATGGGGAGCGGCGGGCGGTGGGCGTACGGCTAGCTGACGGCCGAGTATTCAGGTACCTGGTGTTGTTTTCTTCTAGAAATTGTAGTGCTTGTGTAATACTTTGCAGTAATTTTTTGGCTACTATCCCCAACCTGCCCGTTATTTTCTATCCTTTGAACTTTGATGGTTTTGCCGGTCCTTCCCCCGGCTGACTCTCTCTCCGCACATGCAGCTCAGTAAAACCGTCCCGACCCTTCTTTCACTCGGCGTCATCTCAGGGGCAAGACGGTGATCAGCAATGCCACGCGGTGGGACACGTTCGAGAACCTGATAGGCCCGGACAAGCTGCCCGAGTCAGAGAAACTATTCAGGTGGGTATCCCTTCAGGTGGCGGTGGTTAGGGGTGGTTAAACAAGAAAGGAGGGTAAGGAGGGGGAAACGCTAGGGGAGAAAGAGACGACAAGTCATCCAGGGATCTCTGTGACAATGGAGCAATGGACACAGCCCAATTTGCATATGTTCTTCTTGCGTTTTGCTGCATCACCGTATTGGTAGTGCCAGGCGGCTGCTGTAAGGAGGTGGATGTTTCCCTCGCAGGAAGCGCTTCAAGAAGTCGCCCTCGTTCTTCTCCCTGCACATGGGCGTCAAGGCCGAGGTGCTCCGCGGCGAGACGGATTGCCACCACATCCTGCTCGAGGACTGGGGAAAAATGGAGGCAGCCAGGTGCGTGTGAATCGCGGAAATAAAGGGTGAAAAAGAATGGCCACTTGGAAGTGCTCGATGGCTGTTGTTACAAGCTGGCAAGAGCACTTAAGGCCCAGACGACCCAGGAAACTCATGGACCGCGAGACCAAACTAGAAAGGCATAGAAGGAACTAAGGAATCCTAAGGTGCGAAAGCAAGGAAACTATTAGCCTTAGAAATGACCTACGCCGAATCTAAATGTGGTGAATTAACTCAGCCAGCCCGCGCTGGTTGTCAACGCGCGTGACAGGAAGCCTAGGTAGATGGCTGCGGTCACCTAGGTTAACACTCAACGAAGCGAAACCCTGACCGATGTCAATGTACGCCGCACCCTTCATAAGCACAGGAAACTCGTCCTCAACCACGTTGCTACAAATCCTACAAGTGCGATCAGCCCTTTGCCGACCAACAGGCCTATTAACCTCCAAAGGCCAAGCCCCCAAAAGGAAACGCAGGAGAGACGCATATGACTTGTCGGGAATACATCCTTCCATGTGCTTCGGGACTCCCATACAATGCGTGTGCCGACATGTTTTCACTCGATGGCTGGATGGTAGGCGGCTTCATTCTTAGAAACTAATTGAACCAACTAGCCCTGATACAGCGAATGGGAAAGGTTTGTCAACAACAGACCGCACCCCACACTGTATGGCCAGGGAGACTGAATTGGTGATGACCGCTCAGCGGTCATGAACCTGAACCGGTCATGAACCTGAATCGTCGGTCGTTTCCTGCTCTGGAGGCGCACGGCGCATTTGGCGTTGTAAGTTGGTGCCCCGTGCCTATGATAAAGCCTGCATGGAATGCCGCGTGCGAACAACGATGCAAAGCATTTTAAGTGGTCCACTTATGTACACATAATGCGTTTGGCTGTTTTGCTTTCCAAAGCGTTAAGGACGGAAAAAGTTGCACATCTGCTCCAGCGAGACGACAAGGTAGAGTCTAAACTGTTTTTCTAAACAGAATTAGTGTATAGAATGGTTTGTCTGACCACATCGAAGGACCATAGCTGGCGTGTACAATATTTGAGTGCGGGCATTGGATCCTCTGGCAAAGGACAATTGGATTCTCTGCAAAACTGCAGTTGAAATATCATGTTACATATCGACAACTTTCAAAACTATAAGTACCAAAAGGCATATGTTGCTACCCAGTTTCGATCTGGGGACCTTCTGTGTGTTAGACAGATGTGATTCCACTACACCATAGCAACTCACGTGTCCAGATGACTACGATCTGACATGTGATGTCACAGGCCTGATGTAAAGCCAAAAAATATAACCGCTCACCACGTTTGTTTCCACGTGGTTCCATGGTGGTCCAGCGGAAAGGCATCCAGCAGCAGGGAAACACGGAGGCATAAGCTGGCATGTACCAGGCCGCATGTCGCCGCATACTTTTCTTAATAACGACTGCTGCTCTACACCACCCTCCCGTTCACGCCGTACAGGGGTGTTCTATTCGTTTCCATTCCCACGGTCCTGGACCCTTCCCTTGCACCCCCGGGCCACCACATCGTGCACGCCTTCACACCTGACTGGATCGATAACTGGAAGGTAATAATTGACAGCTGAAACCCGTGCTGATTGAATTTTTTGTTGTTTTTGTTTCTGTTGAATTCGACATATTGATATGCACGACATCTCCCTCTTGCACAAAACTCCACTCAGGACTTGAGCCCAGCCGAGTACGTGTCCGCTAAGGAGCAGTTGGCGGACCAGATCTGTGAACGTCTTGAAGCCATCTTTCCGGGCCTGCGTGCAGCAACCACCTTCCGTGATGTACGTGCGCGCGAGCGCGCGCGAGCGCGCGCGCGCGTGTGTGTGTGTGTGTGTGTGTGTGTGTGTGTGTGTGTGTGTGTGTGTGTGTGTAAACGTTCGCACACATGTATATAATCGTATATGCACACACGTATGTTCTTGTGCACCGTGTCTTTCAGTACACGTTTTGACCCCTACCACCGTTCTTCAGTCTCCATCCGTCTCTACAAGCCTACACAATCACGCCAGCCCCGTCAAAGTGCAACTCGCGGGCGACCCTCTCTCCCTCTCCCCCAACTTTTCCCTGAGTCCCGCGTCCGGGTTCCAAATGGAGCTCCTTCTTCCCGCCCCCAGGGCGATGCCCGCTATATGCCCCACTGACGCCGCCACGAACTCGCCGCACCCGTCCAGGCCGGCACGCCACGTACCCACCGGCGCTATCTCAACCGGGAGGACGGCACCTACGGCCCCATTCCTTCCCGGAGGCCGCTTGGGATGCTCTCCATGCCCTTCAACACCACTGACATTCGAGGATTGTACTGCGTGGGGGATTCCGCCTTCCCCGGGCAGGTGCGTGCGGAGTCGCGGGTTTTTGCGGGTGGGTGGGGAAGAGGAGCAGAGCGAGCGGCGGAGAGGGCGGGAGGTGAGGAAGATAAACCTGGGATGTAGGCAAGCCGTTCCGTTGCGCTCCAGCTGCTAAGAGCTTGGGTCGAGGACACCTAGGTCCCGTAGAGCTTTGTTGAAAGCTGTAAAACTCTTTTTCTTCTTTCCACCGAAAATGCGCTTAGATGCTGATTACTTTAATTAAAGTCTTAGACTGCACACCAAAGCACCGTTCCTCGTCCTAACTTCCAGGCCTGGCTTTAACCATGCTGACGCCCGCAACGTGATTGTGCAAGTTCGTTAGCATCCCTGTAAAACCGTTACATTCTTCGCCGTACTCTCCCTGTGATCGCCGTTCGTACTGTCGATTGATGATGCCTTACCGCTGCCATACACGGTGTCAACGCGCCCTCCTGATTTCAATACCTTGTAGGGGGTCAATGCTGTCGTGTTCTCGGGCTTTGGCTGTGCTCATCGTGTGCTGGCCGACCTGGGTATGGAACCCACCTGGCCCCTGCTGGATTCGGCGTTCGGGAAGCTGCTTTCCACTGTACGGAATGCGTCGTGAAATACGACACCAAAAACCGTACATTGTAGGGGACGCTTTTGGGCATTCGGGATCTGACAGGGAGTCTCCACCTTAATTAATAAAACCAATTAATGGAGTTTTGGGAAGGGAGGTATCTTGCTTGGCATAGCACAGTGATGTACGACGTCTTCTGTACGTGCATTTAGGATGCAGCCGATGCAGCGCAGTGCGCTGTGCAGCGTAGTGGTCTGTGCCGTGCGCTCTGCGCTGACGTGGTGGCGGAACTAGTAGTCCTAGCGTAGGAGGAGGTTTTCCTTTGAAGGTGTGCGTGTGTGTATACATGCTGTGTGTGCATATTTGGACACGTAGGCTTGGCGGGCAGAGGCTGCAGCGGATACATATGCACATGCACATGTACGGCAACATGTGCTGGCAATGGGTGGAATCGGACGGGGAGCTGGGGCTTAGGTCGGTCGACAGTCCCTTGAAGTTGCCTTCGTATACTTCATATACGCATGAAAGGAAATTCAGCAGCTTCTCTCACCCGTCAGTCCGAAACACGTTTTCTCGTCCCAAAGATTTACTTTGTGTGTTATTGCACACTTCCTTGTCCTTGAAGACTTGAACCTCCCCCCTTTGGAAAGCAAACATCCCTTGCACCAGAAGCAGTTCAAGGAAAGAAGAAAGGAGTAGACAGGAAGTGTCTGTTTACATATAAATAAGTAGTGTGCGACACAATCGGAGATCGCAACACGCGCTCATGCGGACATCAAAACATAAACAACAGCAGGAGGCCGTTAGTGACCGCGGCACAGGCCAACCACCAGCCAACCGTTGCCTAACCGAAGTCACACATGGAGAGCCGCAAAGGGGGCTCACTGCCATCCGCACGTCATATACCCCAGATCGCTCAAGCCAGGAACAGAGTTATATACACATTTAAGATAATAATATGTAATAATGTTGAGAATAATAATTTCAGCTTCAGGCTGCATTGGCGTGGAACAGCCGCCGCCGAACATAGGAAAACACGTACGGCAGAACGTACAGCACCTTGTCGTTCGTACACCATATGCACCGCTATGCAATAAAGAGCGAACGTGATGTGTGCGCTGTGTGCGCACTAAGAATGGAAGAATGAGCGGGGCGGGCACAGTTACGCGGTGCAGCTTGCACAACAACAGCAAAGGAAGGCTGCGTGCGGCGACAGAAGCCTACCAATTCGCGGAAAAATCAGTCGCGCTGGCGCCCTGCTTTCCAGCCTGCTTGCGTGTCTGTCTGTCTGTCTGTCTGTAGGGCTGTCTGTCTGTCCTCCTGCCTACCTCCCACGAAGCGATTCCAAAACAACGGTTAGCGAATTCTCAACTCGTACATTCAGGTCTATCAACGAGGCAACAACGCAGGTTTAGTCAACAGGAAAAGCGTAACCACCCCACAACGAACCATGGACGATCCACCACAAAGACACGCAGGCCCTGAAGCCGCCCGCCTGCCCGTGTCCATCACCCTTAGGAACCCTAACACGTCCGCTAAAGACCCGCGCGGTGTAGTACATGGCCGTGACGTGGCAGGGTTAGAAGAGCCGCACGGGACGAGCCATATGGCGCGCAAAGGTAGCGCACGGCCTCGGCTCGTTATCGGCGTTCTTTAGTATGTGTACGTACGTATGTATGTGTGTACATGTGGGCAGCAGATGGTGACCTGAACGGATCACGACTCGTAACGATGGCTTCCCACGCATTCGTGATCCGTTCGCCGTGAGGCCCCTCTCGCCAGCTCAGCAGCGCTTTCCATTCTCGGGAATTCGTACCCCGTACGGCACCTTGCCGTACACATAATTACAACACCAAACGGCCCTATGTAAGGTGCAGAGTGTAAACACGTTTTTTGTCCAAATCTCCAGTGCGTATCATGAACGCATCATAGCACGTAACGCGGCTGAATTCGATTCACAGAGGTACAATAACACCAATAACCTATAAGACGTACGGCCCAGATACAGGGCATTCAGTACTGCAGTACTGATTAGTCATAATAGCAGTACCAAGGACGAGCTGAGCCCAAGTAATATTAAAGTATATGCGTACGGCAGCAACCAATATCGAGAGCGCAATTCGCGCCAAACGACTCAGCTGGCTGACTGGGCGGACAGTGGGCGGACTTGACACCTCGCGGGATGAGGGGGGGGAGGGGGAATGGAGAGAGGGGGAATGCAGCCCCTCCCCCCTTGACCTCAGTAGCGCCTCACCCCTCACCTCACCCCTCACCCCTCACCCCTCACCCCTCATCAGCACCACCACCAGCACCACCTCTTTCCCCCAACATCCCGACGTACTTGCCCCTCGCCACCCCTCCCCCCCTTCCCCCCTCAGCCCCCGGGTGCCCCCCCCCTGCACGTTGTCCTGCCCCATATCTCCCCACGGGACCCGTGATGACTACCTTGACCCTGTCCGTGACCGTATTCCGGGCCCTGATGCCGTACTTGCCGTGATGCCCCTCCTGGACGTCCACGTCAGCGTCGCGGCCCCACGCACGTCATACACGCGGCCCTGGCTGCCGCAGTGGGCAGCTTGGCGCACTCGGCACAGGACACGGCGTCCGTCACGCCAGAGGTGACGCAGTCGAAGCACTGGGCTCGCGCGTCCCGCCAGTCGGACAGACAGCGAGTGGCCTAAACAGGCGCGGAGGCGGTGGAGCAGAGGGGAAAGGGCATGTCAGCGGGTATAGCCTAATCAGGCGTGGAGGAGGAGGGTGGATTGTTTTCCGGTAGGGCAGGCGTTCGTACATACAATGTACGGCAGTAACACGCGATGTGCACACACATACACACAAAGACATAACACACGCCAGGCAGAAGTCACATCTCGCACACGACGGACGCGCGCTGCCAAGTTATTCCCCCACGCACATCGATACACCGGCCACACGCCCAGGCGTCATCGACAGCTCGAACACACTCGGAGCACTGCCGCGCCAGGTCGGGGTCGGAGCCCACGTTGTAGACGTTGGAGCAAATGAGGGAGCAGGCCCAGGACGTGCCTTCAGATATTTACGCGTGTCGTGGGGTGGGGTGGGGGTTGCCGAGGGAGGGGGAGGGGGAGGGGGAGGGGGAGGGAGAGGGAGAGGGGCACAGTGATTTTTTTTTCATTTAGGGCGGGTCTCAATTTATTCCAACCTAAGTAACAAATTTGCCAGGGTCGCCGTAATTTATTCCGTAAGTGTGGGGCGCTGGGGGGGGCTACGCCCTCCCCAGACCCCCCCGATAAGTTACAACTCCCCTCATAGACCAAGAGGCACGCACTGCATTGGCGCGTTTTCGTTCATGTGCGCACTCTTCATGCACATGCATAGATAGTTCTGGCACTGTTTGTGAGCAATAAGTAAATCCGACCAAGCAAAGGCCAAAAGCAAGCAACCGCATAGCAAATCACAGGCCGTCACCTGCCACTGCAAACCACAGCACACTAGGACTCTACCGGTTCCTCATGTACCGGGCCCCCCTTTTGCGTGTTTGGCTATGTGAGGACCGGTCATACATTCTGCTATGCCGCGTTGACTCACGGGCTTGACCTTCTTACGGCCCCTCATATCTATCCTATGATCGATAATACTAAGTTCTGCACACTACGGAGCAATCCGGCAGCAATGGACGTTTTTGGCTGGAGGAATGAAAATGTACGGATCGGCCTCAATTCATTCCGTTTTTCCAAAATGGCCTTTTTATTCCTTTAAAGGAATATATTACTTAAAAAAAAACTGGAGGAGCAACCGGGTCATACGAGGAAAACACAATCGTGCAAACGAAACAATACTGAAAAACTTTCTATATTGTTGTGGGATAGGATGGTGAGAGTTAGAGGGCCTCGACATGGAAGCGGGTCGGGGGTCTCGATCCAAACGAGTTGGTGGGTGAGTAAGGAGAGGGCCGTGGGGTCCTGCAGTTGGAGTGGACATCTGGAAAGCTTTCAAAGAATGGTGCTTCCGCCATGCAGTTGAGGGGTATTCCATGCGATCAATCTTTCTCCCTCCTCCCCGAAACCCCTGTCGTACACACACACACCCAACCAAACCCCAGCCAAACATTCCGTAATATTTCACGGGCCCCCTCTGTCCCCCCATAAAACCCCACAACCCTAAGCCCCCGGACCTCGAATCAGCGACTGCGGTACACACTCGGCCTGGCACACGTGCTGTACGGCAGGATTCATTGCACCGTAGCCCGTACACTCATGACACAGGTACGGATTACGGCCCATGTACCGCACCACCGCCACACAGGCGCTGCAGGCGGTTGTGTTGGTAACGTTGGTGTTGCCTAAACAGGACCGACAGGCGGCATCCGTCGGACGGCATGTGGCGGGTGCCTTGGATGGGTCGGAGGGCAGGCCTAGGGGCGGGCTGGGCGGAGGAGGTGGAGCCGGTGGCTGGGGAGGTGGCTGCGAGGGGCCTACGAGGCGGGGAGTGGGTGGTGGCGGTGGCGGTGGCGGTGGCGGAGGTGATGGCGGTGGCGGCGGCGGCGGCGGTGGCGGAGGTGCAAAAGAAAGGGCGACGTCGGGCGGGTGGGGGTCGGCGGTTATTAAAATCCGGCGTGAGGACTTGAACGGGAGACCGTGGTTGTGAGGAGGTTGGGTGAGAGAAGTTTGCAAGAGGCGTTAGCAAGATTTCAGCAAATCTAAAAATGCAGGGCCTTTTCAACCATTTCCCCACCCCCAAGCCCAACTTATCACCCAAGTGCCGGGTGCTCTTTCCCTGTTTTGTTGTCCTAGGGTTTCTTTAGGTTGCGTGGTTATGCTGTTGTGTATTACCCGTGCACTTACGCGCGGGGGGCCAAGGGGAGGGTGGGGGTGACGGAGCCGGGGGAAGGGGCGGAGGACTGCGGGTTGACCGCGTAGAGCCCAAGCAGCCATAGCCACAGCAGCCAGACGCAGGAGGGCATGCAGGTAGCGAGGGGGGAAGGCAGGGATCAGCGGCGCGGGGAGAGATGAAGAGCAGTCGGGGAAATGGGGCGAGCCAGGCGACTGACCGACAAGCCAGATGGACCGCACCTCCGCGGATGCGGTTGTCGGACATGTCGTTGGTATTGATGGGGCGGGAGATTATGATGGCTGCGGCGCGAACCACCGCCACCACCACCGCCACCACCATAACCACCATAACCACCACACAGATCTGAACCTCCCACGCAACGCCATCAGGCCCTATCCATGCATCCCTACCAGCCGCCGACTTTCCACCCACCCACCCAGCCACCCACCCAGCCACCCAGCCACCCACCCAGCCACCCACCCAGCCACCCACCCAGCCACCCACCCAGCCACCCACCCAACCAGCCACCCAGCCACCTACCTAGGTGGTGGTGGTCCCGGAGCCCCGCACTCGGGCTCCTGCCCCTCCACCGCGGGGCAGGTGGCGGGGGCGGGCAGCACCCCCCGGTCCCCCGGGGTGCCGCAGCTGGTGCTGACGCAGTAGCCCTCCCAGGAGCAGCCGCCCTCGTGAAGGAGGGACTCCACCTCGATAAGGCCCTGAGGGTGGGGTGAGGTGGGGTGGTTGGGGTGCGGAGAGTCAGGTAGTGATGCAAGAAGGAGAAGGAGAAGGAGAAGACGCATGCCGGGGTGCACTACACGTCGTACACGTCGTTCTTGCCCCCCTCCTACCACCACCCCGAGGTCATCCCATGTATGTGTGTATGTGTGTATGTGTGTATGTGTGTATGTGTGTATGTGTGTGCACACCCGAGGATTACCCCCCATTCGCCCCTGTATTCGAATCCAAGGGGGCCCTTACGGACTTACCGCCATGGCCCCCGTGAACCCTGCGTTGTAATCCAGAGCCACCTCGTTCTGTTGATGGGGAGTTGGGGAGTTGTTTAAGATGACCAACTGCCGCAAAAATCCAGCGGGGGGAAGAAAGGGAGGAAGAGGTCCCGACTTCTTATGCTGGATTATCAATTTCCTAATTGGGACATCGTTCGTTGCATCAAGGCTCTGGATTATTCGGCCATCCAGGTTTAACCCATGACTATCATTCTCATTAACATCCTCATTGTTCTTATCATTTATACTTATAGCTTATTATTTTTCATTTTCATATTATATTTGATATTTTTATATGTTTTTTTTACCATAACTAAAAGGCTTGTTATTAATGGTGGTTCAATCATGCGACCGTTGAATCCATCGGTCATTCGATCGTTCGACTGATCGACTGTTCGTGAACCGGATAAACAGCGCCGCGACGTCCGCCATTAACGATATTAGGGAGGACGTGACAGTAGCATCAGCAGTAACATCGGTAGCAGTGAGCTATCCCCCCCCATTCCTCCCCCTCCTTTCCCGACCACCCGACTCCCCACGCACTCCCCCGCACTTCCCCCTACCCACCTGGACGTACTCGCCCCGGGAGTCCTGATATCCGTCTAACTGATCGGGGCCCCCCACTAATGCGCCGTACAGTACACTGGGGTTGGCTCCGGGCGCAGACTTCGGGAGGGTGAGGGGGGAAAGGGTGGGGGGGTGAGTGTTCAGAGGGTGCGGGGCTCTGGGCGTTTGGGGGCAGACGTTTTGGTACTTCATCAGAATAGGGCCCACCATGAGCGGGACAAAACACAGGTAAAGTCTTTGGGGGGTTTCAGGTCTCTGTGTGCCGGGTTGGTAAGTGAGTGAACATTTCCAGTACGGCATGAAAGCGGTCAAAGAAGCATACTCAGCCCCAAGCAAGCTAGGCAGCGACCGGCAACCAACGAACGGGGACAGGGGGTACAGAACGGGGAAAGAGGGCTTTTTCCCGGGTCGATTAAAGCCGTACACCCCCCAGCAGAACATTACAGCAACAGTACATTACAGCAACAGTCCTTGCAATGCCGTAATACCAAGTGCCTTGTCGTACATGCACAAAATCGTACATGTACTTGTGTGTACGTGTATGTACGCCCAACCCTTTGCCGCTGCACGTCGAGGTTACCGCCCTAGACCCACGTTTTCCCTCGGGACCCCTTACCCTTTCCCTCCTTGTACTTTACCCCCCCTCCCAACCCAGCCGCCCCCCAACTCCCCCCCTACCAGCGCGGTCCAGTCACAGGTGGTGTTGTAGTCGGTAGGGCAGGAGGAGCTCTTGTGAACCGGGCGAGTAGGGGAGGAGTGGTAGGGGGTGGGCCTGGGGGAGGGGGGAGGGGGGAGGCGGGTTAAGAAGCGGGAATCCGCTTTTTTTTATAACACGACCACTGTTGCCGAATCACTACCCACGCGCACCCGGCCCGCACGTGTCCTAACCAAAACACAGACACACCAAAACAGAAAACACATCGCCCTTTTCTCTACCTCGCCCCACCCTGATTCTGACTTACGCATATCCCACAACGAAACTCTGATTGCGGCTGTTTCCCCCTAGCAGGTAGCTGGCCTGGCGCCAAGCCCAGCAGCGACGGCGTTGCTGAGTGAGGGCCACCTCCGGCGTGTTGGTGTTGGTTTCGGTGCCGGTACGGGAAGACATGAGGGCCGCCATCGCCATATTGGCTGTGGTACGGCAAGGGGAGGGAAAGGGGAATGGGACGGAAAATGGGTGGGGATGGGGTAATGCGGTGGGGTCGAGGAGACCGCCGCGGCTTTAAGTTCGGCTGTAGGCACCCCCCAGTCTCTGAAAAAAACTTCCCCTCTTCATCTCTTCCCCCCCCCTTTCGCGCACACCAGCTCCCCCCACCCACCCCCCAGTAATTTCCCCCGGGCCTTACACGTTAGGAACCGCCTAAATATAGTACATACATACATACATACATACATACATACATACATACATACATACATACATACATACATACATACATACATACATACATACATACATACATACATACATACATACATACATACATACATACATACATACATACATACATACATACATACATACATACATACATACATACATACATACATACACGCACTCCGTGCCCACCTGCACATCGGGCACTCCCCCAGTTGGAGTACCAGGCAAGTCCCCCCGGCGTGTAGCAAACTTGGAACTCCAGGGAGGTGCCGTTACACGGCGGGGCAGCGGCGGGGGAGATCCACCTGGGCATGACATGCGGACAAAAAACACAACATCCGTACAATTTGGGCCGTCACGGACTGGCAGATAGACAGACAGACAGATAGACAGACAGATAGACAGGCACATAGACAGACAGACAGATAGACAGACAGAAAGATGGATAGATAGATAGACAAACGAGACAGACAGGCGCATGGAGAGGCAGCCAGACTGACAAACAAGCAGACATATATACAATGGACTGCATTCTCGGCGCCGAGCAACAGTCGACAAAAGCACCAAGACCCGCAACACTACCACCCACAGCGGCGGCGACTGTAAGCGGGGCCGGCGGCTTGTTCAACATGCGCACATCAAAACACAGCCGTCATGGGCACCGAATCCGGCGGCGACGCCCAAGCACTTAAGCACAGCATGGCACAGTACGAGACAGTACGGCAGAACACAGATTCGCCGCCTCCTTCCAGCCCCACCAACAGCTCGTGTTCTCTCGCTCACCGGTCCAACACGTAGCTGATGTGCTGCTCGAAGCGACCCACCATCGCGGGACCACCAGCGCCCACATCTCTCAACATCATAGAGGCCAACGGAAACACCGCCGCCCAGGCGATGACGTCACGGCCGTACTCGCCACCCGTGTCGGCGGCGTCGATCCACAACGACGCCGCTTCGGCGCAGGCCGAGCTGCCCGCGGAGGTGCCGGCGCCGCCACCGACGCCCGTCTCGACGGCGGCGCGGCACAGCCAGGCGGCGGCCCAGGCCAGATCATCGCGCCAACGAGCGCTGCCGTACAGAGTCTGGCGGCCCGCCGGCGGCGACCACCTGCTCGAGGATGCGGCAGCGGCGACGACATTGTCGGCATGGATAAGTACATACATGAGTGAATACATACATACATACATACATACATACATACATACATACATACATACATACATACATACATACATACATACATACATACATACATACATACATACATACATGCATACAGGTGTCCAGATTCGCATCTTACATCGTACAGCTCCTTACATTCACATCATCATCGCCCATCGCCATCCAGCAAGCGCAGCATGGACTCCCTGGAGAGCTCAACCTCCCTCATCTCTCCCTCCCCCACACGCAGCCTCAAAAGCACCGCGTTCTGCCCCCTCCCCCTTTCCTTCCCGACCTGGAGGGGTAACTGAATTGCCGTACCACCCTAGGGCTGGCGACGTGAGCGACGCAACCCCCGACAGCCCCACACGGCTCACGCACATGCCCGGGAGCAGCTTGGCGAACTCGAATAGCTGGGTTGCACGACGCAGTAGCTCCTGGGCCTTAGCCGGGTTGGAGTGGATTCCCGGACGACGTAGCACCAGTGCGGTGCCGACCATGGCAGCTACAGCCTGAGCGGCGGGGGGGGGTATGGGAGGGAAGAGGACACGGGATGGGGGGGGAGAAGGGGGGGAGAGAGGGGGGAGAGATAGGAGGGTAAGGAGAGGGGATAGGAGAGGGAGGACGGCAAGATGGAGACAGCGTGGGCCGACACGATGTTTGTACGACATATACACCGTGTATCTGGTCCGGACGGTCTGCATGTGCAGACGGTGTGCTTGTGCGGGGTCGGTGCGCTGATGTGTATCGACCGTGTGGCCCTCCGAGCTCTCCCCCCTTCCTCCCTCTCCTCCTTCTTTACCCCTTCCTTCCTCCCGAACCCTCTTAACCCCTAGCCCTCAGCTCCCTTTTCCCCTCCTTTTCCTCTCCCCCCAATACACGCCCCTTCCGTACCTCCGACACGATGTCCGCTCCCTTCCCCCCCTCCGCTGTCAGCAAGTACACGGGCCTCCATCCCAGAGCGCCCTCCTCGCCCCCCTCCGCCTGCTGCTCCGGGCGGCCCCAGTGGAGGTTGTGGTCCGTGTCACCGTCACCCACCTGCGGGGAAGGGGGAGGGGGAGAGACGTACACACAGGACATACAGACAAACACAGGGAGAGGTGCACAGAAACGCACATTAGCTACACGTACACACACGTACATGCATGGACTCGCGCTCGGGGCCTCAGTTTTACACAGGGTTATTACCAGCCTGCCTACCATGGCTTATGTACATACATAAATACAAAGGTAAACACATATGTACATAAGTACAATACAAACATGCACGTACACTTCACGTACATGCATACGTTCATGCATGCGTACGTACACACATACATGCAGTCGCTCTGCAGCTTAAATTACGCAGGTGTGCTCGCATTGAATACGAGCACACCCGGGGGGAACTGCCGTACATACCCACACGAACCCGTTTCCAAGCTGAGCCCCCTCTTGCCCCTCCCTTGCCTGGGCCACAAAGGCGTTATCGGCGGGGTTGTCACTGGCGTTGACGTGGCATTTGATCAGGTACGACGCCACCCAGTCCAAATTCCGTACGGCCAAATCCCACTGTCCCGCACTGCGGTACGTGGACTCCCACGTCAGCATGCCGTACGACAACATGGAGGCGGTAACGCCCAACGGTAAACTGATTTTCAAATGGTCTGCGGAGCGAAGTGAAGCGAAGCAGGTCATGCAGGCGACACAGGTGCGCGTGTGTGTATAGGGGTGCGTCGTCCCAGCTTACTCAAACTTAACGGGACCCCAACTCGATGGGGCAAAACACAGACGTACGCCAGAGAGAACATGAGCAAACGCGCGCGTCTCACGCGCACACGCACTACTCCCTGTTGAGGTGGATTCATACAGGTGGGGAGCGCAGACGCAATAAGGAGAGGAGTTCGAACTTCGAGAGGAGTTCGAACGTGCAAGGGGGGAAGGGAAGGGGAGCGCTGCTACTGTAGCATAGCTTAGCTTACCTCCTGCGTCGTACCAGCCACCAGACAGTGACATGCCAATGCCATCTGGCCCGAATCCATCATGAGTGTGGCTCCAGTTACGCCATCCCCCCTGTGCTTGGGATGCTCGGGACCATGCCGGCACCTCCCCGGACATTTGCGCCTCATAGAACCTGTACAGTACCACCATGTTTTGCGTCTAAAGTGGTAATGCCGTTTCAAGGAGGTGAAGCTTTGGTACCGATACGTTGAAAGCAACGACCCACGCTAGGCTGGGTCCCGACAGATGCCTGGAAATTTGATATTTAAGCGTGCTTTTCATGTAATAGGATTTACCTATAGGAAAGGCCGAGCACATAGCTAAAATTGTGCTGAAGTTGGGAAGCATTCACCATGTGTCCTGGTCCGCACAGGAGACAAAGTGCCAGGAGCGATAATGTAAACTTATAGCGGAGGCGTTCCATTATTTTTTCCTTCTGACAGCATGTCAAGGAAAATTAAAACTTAAAAAGCTATGCACCGCCGTGTTGTAACTATTTTCGTGTGCATTCCAGGCTCGAAGCATTCGTTTCCTTAAGAACCAAGCACTAAATGGGCAGCTCTGTTGCAAACATGTAATGGTTTATGTAAAGAGTACACAACTGTCCTTCCAACCAAAGTTTCACGGGACATCCTCACTTTTACGTGTAGTGTTGTCACTAGCCAAACCAGTCGAAAACGTTTGATGTTATGCTTATTTACCCTGTCTGATGAACCCCCTTGGTCGTACGCTTCGCATTCAGCACCGACTCACAGGCAAGGACACGTTTCAAATCAATCAGTGCATCATTTAATACCATTCGAAAATAACTGAAAAAACAAGCATACGAAGGCATAAGATTTTAGATTACGGCAATGGATTACGCAATCGATCTGGCCAGAAGGTCGACGAAAGCCGAGACGACGAAAAACGTTTGAAATCCATCAGACCTCGACAAGAAGCATGATTTTACACATAGTAAACTAGGAAGAATATGAATACAGGAACGCTTGCAGTTTCAGTGACATCTCCCATATCATGCGGTCGCGCCGTACGACCTCGGAGACTTGAACGTCTCAGCCGTTTCCGCCGACTTCACACCACCGGAGGAATACATGGTCTTGAAGGCTGAATGGATCGGACGCAATAGTGATTGCCAGAGCGTTTACAAAGCGACTAACGGCTCAGCTCAGCCACAACTCACTACTCTAGAAGCATGCCAGACCAAAGATAATCGCTGGCTCATTCCCATTTATTGACGAGTTCGACAGTCGATCAGCAAGTACGGAAGATGGCTCCACTCTATCCAGAAACCAAGTATCACGCAAGCATCAGGCGACAGACTGACCGGACAACATTTTCCTCAACACATGGTCAATCTTGCATTACTTAGTGACTGCTTGTTATCCCGTGCACAGGGTTGCGACCGCAACGCACCATTACATCCAACCGAGGTTCAATTTGACCGCCGTTAGGGTTCTCACGTCACGAAGAAGATCCAAACTTCACACCGAAACGAAGCTCTATCCCTGTAATTCTTCGCCTTAGGCTGGTGCACCAGGTCGCTGCCAGGAAAAAACGTCGAAAGCCCTCGCTCTTATGGCGGTGAGAGTGCGGATTAAGGCCAGGGATTAACCCTATGGCGGTGGCGGATTAACCCTCTGTCCTCCATCGATACCTGCTCAAACGGCCAAGTTGTTGGCAAACTTACCTCGCCTTTCCAACCTTTGGCTCCCTTATGGAACAAAACTATGTGGTAAGCTCGTACCAAGGACTTCCGTGTCCTAATCCCTGGCCTTAATCCGCACTGGAAATGCACCCTAACCTGCTCGTACCAGAAAGCCGGTTTCCAATTTCCGAGCACCTAGAGAAGGAAGCCAAACATGGCGTGCTTCCGTTTCTTGACCAGAGAAGGTTTTTCTTGACCGGAGAAGGTTTGCATTTAAAATGTTTTGTTTTACCTCCTGTCGTATATGCCATTTGGTACTCCTGCACAGAGTGCAGGACTACATCACTGTATCTGTCTCCCATTGATTATCGGGCAGGTACATAATAACGTACCGGGCTGCAGCTTTCAGCATACACATGAGACGCAACGACCCTTCGCATATTACAATATTTAAGAACTCGACACATTAAGAACTCGACCATCCGCAGTACATATATGGAGACGAGTCCGAAATCAAACGTATTTATTGTCGCCGCGAGCCCTATTTGAGCATTAAGCCGTCCACTTCTCGCACCGTCCGTACCGGGCGCTCGTTCTCCCCCGAAGATGAAGGTCCCGACCCGCTGGCATTGCTGCAACGGGGATCAAACATTGGCTAACAACCAGCCACCTGCCCTCTTCGCCCCGAGCGACGTGCACCCATGTCAAAATGATGCCAAAGAGGCAACCAGGCCACACACAACGTAACAAACGCATGCACATGCTCTAATGAATAGAGCACATGAAAGACGACTTAAACAACCTCTCAGCGCTTGTCCGCAACTAGCAACATTACCCAGCGTTTCCAAACACCGGAAAAAAGAAAAGTTACCCATCACAATTAATACCCTTTTACCTGCCTTACTGCCTCATAATAAGCATACGTCCATGCCACCTTCCCAAGCCCTACGTCGGCAACGTAGCACACAACGGTTATTAAGTACCCTCCTTCGCGACACCCCATTCATTCCCTCCTCGCCGTGTGCAGCCTGACCGTTGCGTGTCGCATGCTCCGGGCCTCTTGAGGCGCTGCCCAACCGGACCGCAAAGGCGCCACTTAGGCACAGATGCATATGTCCTGACCGGGGAGAGCACCAAAGGTACTCCGCCAAACCGTTGGGTTAGCCCGCACCAGACTGTACCGACAGAGCCCACTGCACGCATGTGGGAGGGGGGGGGTGCGGTTTACACGAATTGGCGCCAACTCGCATGGGTGCATGCGCACATGCTCTCGGGCTGGTGGTGTACAGAACATGTGCACGTACAGACGTACAAGTTGACGTAACAGGTACATGCACACGTGTATGTATGTATGTGTTACATGGCCGTGGATGCGTTCCCCGTACTCGCAAACTGCCCCAATACATGCACATGTGCATGACAAGCAGGATCCGTAGGCCGCCAGAGCCAGTCAAACGTTTCAACTGCGATGTTACGGTGCAGCGCAGCCTGTTCAGACACTCACCCCAGGCAGCCGCATTTGCCGGCGGAGATGGAAGCTGCGTTGTTGGAGCCGCAGCAGTCAGCCGGTGTGAAGAAGGGGTCGCAGCGGGGGAACGCACAGCCGACAGCCGAGGAACCGAGGGCCTGCGCAAGAGCCTGACCCTTGCCGCTGGCGGCAGCCGCAGCTCGAGCCTCTGGGGTTGGGGGGAGAGGACAGATATGACGAAAAGTTCAAAAAAAAGAGGGAAAACGGGATCAGAGGATATTCGTTGCCACGCCGTGCAGATAACTTTCCTGCGCAATGTGTGGCGCAACACACCACGTACACAAGAAGCCCGTTCCCATCTCCCCTCTGGCAAACCCCGGCACGCGATACACGAAAGCAGCAAAACCAGGCCCGTACTCAATGTGAACCCTAGTTGGAACGTACATGTTTGTGGTTGTTTTGTTAAGTTTGCGCAAAACACCTTCATCATTCACCATTTTCATGTGCGTGAAGCGCAGAGGAATCTCTACAGATGCCTTTTAAAAGCATTGAAGTATGCCATATAGAACCCCCATCACCCAGGGGCACCTGACAGGGCCTGCGCCACAGGACCACAGCCGCCGGCAGTCGCGTCCTCCAGGCCGGCCGCGAAGGCGCCCGTTTGGTTCGGGTCGCCCGAAGTGAGAGCCTGTGCGATGGCACGTCCCGCCGCCTGCGCCTTACCCGCAGAAACAGCCTGCGCGACGGCGCTAGCCAGCGCCTGCGCCACCTGTGAGCTATTGCCCTGCATCAGCAAAAATATTACGTCGTATATATGGCGTTAATCTTGTGTATCGTACGAGGCGGTCGCACGGCAATACGGATGATGATTGTAGGACAGTGTAATATTTAAATTATGCAGTTTTGGATACGGAGCGCGGGGATGGCTTGCTGGAAAAGAAAGCGGTAATAGTGGCGACAGCGCTTCGCGTGACACAGGCGAAGCCCGGGCCCTTTTTTTCCCCACCACTCCTTGCCCGCCCAGCCCACCCTCATGAGGGATACTTGCCTGGCTGTAGGCCTGAGCGACGGCCTGGGCGGTGGCGCTGGCCTCACCTCCACCCGCTTCGAGACCTTGGGCGATGGCATTTGATGCAGCCTGAGCGGAGGCGCCGCCGCTGCCGGCGGCCTGGGCAATGGCCTGGGCTCCTGCAGTGGCCTGCCCGCTGCCGATAGCCTGAGCAACACCCTGGTGGATGAGTGGGTGAGGTAGTACAGAAAAGGGTTAGTTCATCCCCCGCAGGTGAACTAAGGGGGTTCCCCTTTGGGGGTGGGGAACAGAGGGGGACAGAAAATATTATGGAGGTGGTCAGCGTGAGGGGCTGGGAGGACAGGAGCGGAGAGGAGGAAAGGCCACGGCTGGCTCGGATGACGTGACAATCCTGGCAGGGAAGGTACGAAGTAGATTCGCTGGCGTTCCATGCTATCTAATATTCATAGGATTCCATCTTCTGCCGAAGATCTCCCCAGGCCTCCCTTACCTGTGCCACAGCGTTTGCGGAGCTGCCCCCCTGAGCAGCCGCCTGGGCCAGCGCCTGAGCGACAGCAGCGGCGTTTCCGCTAGATTGGGCTTGGGCGAGAGCCTGAGAGATGGCCTGGGCAGTTGTACCCGTGGCTGGTCGTAGAGCGGGGCCCGGTCGGTTGACATAGACGGATGTTGGTTGGTTGGTTGTTTCGACAAGACGGAAAGCAGGAAACGCGCGAAAGTGCGTTTGTGCACTTGCAAAATGCGTTCATTACGGCATGAAATAGTGGCAAAAGGCGTCCGTCCAGGGCACCGGCCGCACCCATAGATAGACCTAAAACCCTAAAACCCTAAAACCCTGTATCCAACCCTGCCCTACCATCCCCGCCATACCACACTACCAGCAAAACTACCGAGGGGCTGCACAGGCGAATCAAAGCTCCATGCAACCCATGGGCTTGCTAAGAACCAAGCAGACCGGACTTACATGAAGAAGCCGCCTGTGACACAGCCTGAGCCACGGCCTGGGCGTTGCCGCCAGCCTGAGCTGCAGCGTTTGCCAGAGCCTGAGCTGCGGCATTGGCATTGCCGGACGCGACGGCAGAGGCGAAGGCACTGGCGGAGGCCGCAGCAGGACCCGGAGCCGGCGACGGGCTGGGCGACGGCGACGGCGACGGCGACGGCGACACTACCCCTCCGGCGGCTGTCCCTGAGACGAGGAGGGTGGGAGAATGACAAGCGCCATGTCAGGTTCTTGGGGCGTGAAGCTTTTGGGTTGAAGCCGCGCGTACCAATGAAGGAATATACTGGGATACCTTACCTTGACCGGATGGTGATGGCGACGGCGACGGCGATGGCGACGGCGACGGGCTGGGCGACGGCGATGGGCTGGGCGACGGCGATGGCGACGGGCTGGGCGACGGCGACGGCGACGGGCTGGGCGACGGCGACGGCGACGGGCTGGGCGACGGCGACGGGCTGGGCGACGGCAACGGGCTGGGCGACGGCGATGGTGACGGGCTGGGCGACGGCGATGGTGACGGGCTGGGCGACGGCGATGGGCTGGGCGATGGCGACGGCGACGGGCTAGGAGACGGCGACGGGCTGGGCGACGGCGATGGCGACGGGCTGGGCGATGGCGACGGGCTAGGAGACGGCGACGGGCTGGGCGACGGGCTAGGCGACGCCGGCAGACAGTTCGACACACCTTGCGCCTGCGCAATGGCCTGCGCGAACGCCTGCGCATTACCCGCCGCCTGAGCCTGAGCTTGGGCCTCTGCAAGTTAACACGTCCAGACAGCGAACGATACATTACATGGAGGCCTGCACATGAGCCGTGCATTCAAGGACTGTATACGTGCGAAGCACCATCCCTAGCCTACAATATTCCCACCCTATCCACCCTAGGCGCATGTAGGCTGTACTCCCCCTCATCCCCATATTACGCATAGCCGCAGAGCCGTGGAGCGAAGCCAATCCCCAGGCATCTACAGATGTTACACTCACGCGCTAGGGACTGGTCCAGCGCACCGCAACCGCCGGAAGCGATAGCTTGTGCGGCGGCTTGGGCAAAGGCCTGGGACTCCGTACCACCGGCGGCGGCGGCGGATGCCAGTGCGTTGGCGACGGCGGAGGCGTTACCTGCGGCCTCGGCGTTCGCCAAGGCCTGAGCCAGCACGCCAGCTACTGCGCCGCTGTTGCCCTTCGGAATGTGACAGAACAACCGAAAACGTTTGTAGGGACCGGTATTGACACGTTAGCAAAAGCTTTTTAGTAATTCACGGATAAATATCTGTTTCAAGCAAGTGTTTCGAAAAGATACTCGATGCCAAAGAAGCTTGATGTCAAAGGAAGACACCACACGTACGTCTCGCGCTTACTCAGATTACCTGCGAATAAGCTTGCGCGACTGCTTGAGCAGCTGCGCTAGCACTCGAGCCGCCCTGGGAGAGGGCCTGCGCAATGGCCTGAGACGTCGCCTGAGCAGCAGCTCCGCCTTGGCTTGCGCCGGCGGCGATACCTGAAGCTGCGGCACCGGTATTGCCCTGCTCGAACAGGTGGATTGGCAAGCCAAAAGTCAAGGCCAGTGTGACCACAAAATATCAAGCTACTTGCCACTCGGCCCCGGTAAACCTACTCGTCGGAACGAATGGATAGGGCTGATGCAAAATATTTTCCGCCGCATTCGGTTCGGACTCAAGAGCGTGAAAGTGAAGGCAACTATGCCAGCTCGGCCCCGTTCTTAAGGAATCCCCACGCCACGCCCCGTCTATACCAATGACATACCTCCGAGACGGATTGTGTCAAGGCCTGGGCGACCGCCTGCGCTGCAGCGCTGCCTCCTTCAGACGCAGCCTGTGCCAGGGCCTGAGCGACAGCACTTGCGTTACCAGCGGCTTGGGCTTGCGCGAGGGCCTGAGCTGCTGCCTGAGCAGTGGTACCGGGAGCTGCGGTAGCGGACATTAAGACAAGCAACGAATTATAAGCTTGCCCGGCAGGAGGATCAAGGGGCTGACAAACTGGTGAGTATTGCCGGGTCAAACAGGATAAATCTTGAGGTAAGTTATGTGTGTGTGTGTGTGTTACATGGTTGGGGGGTGCGTGACCCCATACCTGTAAGACTACCCATACGAGCCGAGGGCCCAAGGTAAGTTATAGATCTAACTTGTACAACTTAGCGCAGACAGACACCATTTTAAACAGATTTAATGTGCGCGATAACGATCGTCACAGCTCGTTAATAAGAATGAAGGGCAACAAGCAACGCGAGTAACAAGAGACACGAAAAGAGTAGTAGGGACGGGAGATCTGGACGGACCTGAAGCTGCAGCCTTAGCGATGGCCTGAGCTGCAGCGCTTGCGCCCCCGCTGGCAGACGCGTTCGCAATGGCCTGCGCAGCTGCCCGGGCATCTCCACCGGTAAGCGCGGAGGCGATGGCGGTGGCGGAGGCAGAGGCAGAAGCCTGCTGTAGGCTGCGACCTGCAAACAGAGATTAGAACTCATCAGAACTGATGCAGGGCGAGAGGTGCAAACAATCACATGAGAGGATTTCGGAGGACCAGTTTTTTGTCAGAGGAAGGCGAGCGTCTGCTAGTTAAACTCAAGATAAGACGTCCGAAAATGTGCAGCAAGTGCGGTGCAGCGTCGCAAATGCGCCGAAATGCACGAATGGTTTCAATACGACTGCCTTCATAGTTAGTGCTGTTGCATATGTCGCTTTTACAAGAGTTGCAGTCTATCGGCAATGGACAGCCTGGAGCCGCGCGCTAAGCTTCGCTCGGCTACTCGTCAAAGTTGGAGATGCGACAGAATTGAACGTCTCATCACAGTAAGCACTTAGCACAAAATTCCCAAACATTATTGGGCACGGCCCAAGAACGGCTTCATATTTCAAGTCGCCACGTTTCGACATTCGACGTTCCGCCACTCACCTGCAGATACCGCGCCAAATGTCGACAAAAGGAAAAGTAACGCCGCCACAGCGGCCGCCCTTGGCGCGACCATCTTTTCAGGTGCCAAAGGGCTTTGAATGAACTGGCCTGAATCGCAAATGCCTCCCGGGGCAGTTATGAAAACGCGCCTCCAAACAATGCGCAGCCCGGTGGTTGCACCTGTATCCAATCGAAGCTTACTTCCTCAATGCATCGCTAGCTTCGATCGACACTCATGTGTGGGACTGAATGGCTTTATGCAACGGCAATAGGGGCAACTGTACGACAGTCCAAAGTCAACGTTCATCCACTTGCGTGGATCATCTCGTAAAAACGTGCTCCCGTGAATTCAAATCGCACTTACTACACACGCATCAGAATTGCCTCACGTACTGTTGCTCTAAGGCTTTGGAACGGATTTTTAAGGCGGTACGCAGGCGACGGCGGGGACAGCGCTGCGCTGGGCTTTGGGGGGAGCAGCTCAACGCTCCTTGGACAGGCTGCAAGACTTCGCGCAAACGCGTGTTATTGCTGTTCCAATGTCGAAGTCTGATGCGCGCCATCCACCAACATTGTTGCTAACACTGGATATGAACATCGCGTACCTTCATGATGCACAACACACAAGCGCAGCGCACAGGCGTACTCGCGTTCTCAGCAAGGCGCCGGTTGTCTGATCAAGCCGATCAAGAGCCCAAGCAGACAGCCGTCGTAACCTAACCTACTGGCCCAGGGGTCCCCCGTACCCCATCATTTATTTCTGGCTTGAAGGCCCCCGAGCCTACGAGCCCACGGGCCCATACCGCTGCCCACTAAGAAGGCATTAACAAAAGTATGCAATAGCATGCCAATCAGCCAAGGACAGTTCACATGTGGCGTGAGCACGGCTCTCGGCAAAACACCTCCCAACACTGTAGACACTCTTCTTGGTGAAGTGGCTGCATACAGATAGAGGGATACAGCGGTGGTGCATAAGCCGCTGCGCACGCAAAGAAGTGAAAACACTCGGCGTCTGGCCCCCTCTTCTCATCTACCAAGGGCGACGTGATAAGCGCAGCGTGATGACTTGCCAGCCAAGGCGACCTTCGAAGTTCCCTTGCCGCGCCCCCAACTGAGGCCTGCACGTGGATGGGACGATCATGGGCCTGGGCAGGTCGATCGAGGGGGTGGTAGTTGTGGAGCTCGAGAGAGCTGCATGCATGCATGGAGGCGCGCCAGGTAGGGGCTTACCTTGCAGGGGAGGTGTGCTGCTGCTGACGGAGCTCGACGCCGGCGGTCACTTCGCCGCGAGTGACGCAAGCGGTCGTCTGGCGGAGCGGGCGATGCGTGTGGCGTTCATGCTGCGGGAGCTAAAGAAGGGAATGGATGGGACGGCGGTGCCGGTGAACCCAGCCGGCCAAGTCAGCCGCTGAGTAGACATACGTATGGCCATGGCTGCCAAACAGTGAAGCGGCCATATCAATTCACGCCGCGCGCATCGAGCATCGCATTTATCCCTGCCGTACATTATTGCTTTTGCGACTTTCATCACAATTGTTGTTTGACAATATCAAGATTGTGTGGGCTGGATCTTGGATGGCAGTAATGGACATTTTTTAAGTTGGTTAGTTGATGGGTGGCTGGGTTAGATCGGATTAGGCAATGTTAGGGCGAAGTGTTGAAAATGGAAGTGCAAAACGTGCGCAGACACGGTGGGCTGTGCCGTACAACACCGTAACCTAGTTAATTTTTTCTTCTTCGGTACATATGCTAATAGTATATACATGCACAAATTTGCACCTGCCTGTTGGCTGCGGCGTATGACATGTTAGTGCCCACCTATATGGAGCTCTAGCTGCTGGGAAACGCAACGCAGTGTACGGTTGTTTGCCGTACCTCCCACACCGCCTTTCCTGTCTTGCCAGTATTTTTTGTTCGGGACGGTAACCGCTGCAGGATATGTGCGCGCGCCGGCGGCCGTCATAATGTTTTTTCCTTTTCTTTCTGCTTGACGCAAATGAAGTTGTGCGATTGATACTTACTGGGAGGCGATGTTCGTATTTGTTCTTGTGTCTTACTCATTATTGCACAAAACCCTTGAACCTTGAAGCACGATATAGACCTAGCCTTCTTAGCTAAGAAGGGGACATGGTTTCATTAGGGGACATGGTTTCTTTATAACAGCACTTTTATGTATGAAATGCTGTTGTCTGTCGACGGGTGTGAAGAGGCTAATTGCGGCTGCGACGAGATGTCTTCAATGTATGTGTGTATGTATGTGTGTATGTATGTGTGTATGTATGTATGTGTGTATGTATGTATGTGTGTATATATGTGTGTATGTATGTGTGTGTTACATGGTCGTGGGTGCGTTTCCCGTACCTGCAAACCGCCCAATGCGAGCCGAGGGCTCAAGGGCTCTATAAGCACCATCCTACCTCGCACTTCAAAACAAAGCATGTGAAGGTTACTAACGACCAAAGGAAACGGTAGAGTTGTGGTGGGACCACATACGTTCCAGCATCCTTGCCAGACGTTCAGGTTCCCACTTCACAGCGTCCTTCACATGCTCGAAGCGTCTCCAATGAGCGCCACGCGAGATGATCCCATGACGGCGAAATGGCTGTTTATTACGAAATGCTATAGCCTCAGCAAAGAGATCATAAACAAACAAACGGAGCACCGGAGCTGGGGAAGGGGAAGGGGTGGCCCTAGGGCTATCGCTGTTGTGATGCTTACCGGCGGTACCAGGGAGCAGGGCATCTACTGGGTTTTACTGGGTTTTACTGGGTTTTACTGGGTTTTACTGGGTACTGGGTTTAATTGGGTTCCAGAATCTTATCCGTGTCCACCTTTCCATCCACGGAGCTCAGAGGGGCGTGAAGAGAGCTACGATACGAATTACGGACCACACTTCTCAGTAGCTCCGGAACTGCTCACTAGAGACCAGACGGTGGGCCGGCTTCCATTAGCCAGTTAGCGTCCTCTAATAACGGTTTCAGGGCTTAAAACCCATCCCACTAAAAGTTAGCTAAAAGTCACGTGGTTCCATGGCAGGTCAGTTATATCAACTGCAATCGTACAACATCCTCCATGCTACCGTCGATGCGGCAGCGCAGCTAGCTAAAGCTGCAAATGTAGTGGCTACTATTCTGGATTAGTTAAAATAGAATAACTAAAGTTCGCGAGCTTACCACCTGACAGGGTGTTTCCAATTAGCGGCCTCTTAGGGGTGTTTCCACTTGGACGAAAGTCACGAATTAAGGTATTTTTAATACGCGCCAATCCACCGCTAATCCGTCCGAGTGTTCCATACGTCTGGATTAAGAAACGGAGTGAAGTACGACATCTCTATTTTTTCGCGCCAACCTTAGGGTTTAACTAATCCGCCCTAATCCGCGCGATGTGTTTCCATATGCGACGGATTAAGCTATCCCGGCATCCGCGGCAACAGATTTTCTTAGGGCCGGGGACCTGCCGGCGCGGCTTTCCTCCGTAAACGGGGACCTTGCGAACTCCCCGTAAGAATGTCTAAAGTTTGGGAATAAAAAACTGCTTCATATCTGGCGTTACTTTGACCTTGCAAAGATTAAAACAAGGGTATGGAAATGTGGCATGTATAAGCGGAAACATCGGAACATGTTGGCGTGCGCACACTGGCATCTTAACCATTTGCTAGGGGTCATTTCCAATTACAAAATCCTCTACAGTCATGTGAATGGTGCTTGATTTAGTTTGGAAAATTGAGAAGCCACGGTAGGCAGGTTTGAACGTTGCAACGCACATTTGCGCCATCTGAACGAATTGCAGCACATGCACATCTGATGCACGTTTATATGGTATCCATTCCACAGGGTAGCAGAGGTCCGTGCGATCGCCTCCGCGATGACGAGAAAGCAGTAGTTGAGCACACTGCAGTTGGAGTACTGCAGTGGGGAATGGCTTCTGATGGCGGGGCCGTTGGAGCATTGCAGCAGGAGCATAGGGAGAATGAAGTCTCACTTCGATGGGGTGCACAGATAGGGAGGCGCCCCAGTCTCGCTGGCATCCTGAAGGCTGAACACGGTCGAGTTTGAGCTTTTAGTTAGGAAGAATGTGCGCAATGTATAACATATTAATACTTAACTATATATAGTTAAGTATTAATATGTTGTATAAATCCTTAATTCGCGAAGCGCGCGAATACGGGCGTAGATCTGTCGCCAACCTTAATCCGCCTAATCCGCCCTATTAATCCGCGCGATGTTTCCATATGCGACGAATTGAGCCTTGATACGTGACTTTTAATCCAAATGGAAAGACGCCCTTAATCCTTGGCGTTAATACCAAGTGATGACACTCCCTTGGACGCACGGGCAAAGCGTTAAATATGCCACATCATCAGGCGGGAACATTGCGAACATGTCGAAACACGACCCTGACAGCATGGTAAAATGAATTTGTCACAATTACAAGATTTAATTTACTCAACAGGCTAATGTGCGCAGATGCACGGTCTCTTATAATGTGAAAATTGCTGTTACAGCAACACCTAATCGACGTCCAGTTCAGCACAAGCTGGACAAGCGAGCTGACACTACGCCTCAAATCTCAGGAGCACGCAAAATTCCTGAAAACCAAAAGCTGCAAAATTCTGTTGAATACCTGGTGTAGCTTCAGAAAAGGAATGGCACTTGGCGATCCCGTTCGTACGACCGAATGAACGGACGTTCCGGACGCAATTTGCATCCTATAAGAACAGTGAACTGACGAATACCAGAGAAATATTCAGGAAGACTGATCGAAATCACATCTTCTGCAATATTCACAACAGTCAGACAGGTCAGACGATTCCCGTTCGAAATTTCCGCGAAGGGCGGCGCTACGATTGATAAATAGCTTGGCGACATTTCTAAACATCCAAGGCTAAGCAATATTTCTTTATAAATTTGCCTTACGCACGCTCTGGCAGTCCTCAGGCCACTTTTGCTGTGTGTAGCACGTTCTAAGCGTCCACACGAATGACGAGCGTCGTGCGCTCCGGAGTGATCGCAGTGCTAACCGCAGCCTTCATTGCCCTGATAAGGAGCACAAGTGCCTCCTGCAATTATGAAATGTAAGAATCCGCGGGTGGCTGCGAGCTGTCGGTTGCTTCGCTGCCTGCGAATACGGCCTCGCCCGCAAACCACTTCGCTGATCGATATGCAGATGGATTGTCGACCAAGCGGACTCCAACAATGGAACGGCACTTGTTGGCTATGGCGGGTGAGCTCCGCCGGTAACAAGAATCAGCACTTTCCGACACCACGCAGCGTCGCTCCTGCCACGCAGCGAAAACATCACCTAAACAGGTTTAATCCACCACCTTGCTTCGCAGATACATCTACATTTTCCAAAGCCGTGACCTGAAAAAAGCCCATGAAATTATTGACCTCGGCGGTGAAGTGTCTCGGCTCTGCTTCCAGCAGACAGGTATGTTTTCATGAATGGAAGTAGCTGAAAAGAATGACAAGATACATTCTTTGTAGTATTGTTGTAGTATTGCCCTTGGGCCTTCGGCTCGTATGGGTAGTCTTACAGGTATGGGGTCACGCACCCCCAACCATGTAACACACACACACACATTCTTTGTATCCCGCGTTCAATTCGCTGAACGCGGTATAAACATTGTGATATGTGGGGACACCTCCTGCCAGACCCATCCAATGCTTATGTGAATTCCTGGTTGCTTGCCGTCTGACGGGTACACATCTGGCTGAACATCTAGACGCGTATGCTTCAAACCATTCATCAATCAATCCTTGAACTCCGATACCACACTTACCAGGCATGGCCCATTCATTAGTAACTGTTTATGTATTATGGACGACAATACAAGAATGAGAGCGAATGATCGCCAACGTCGCAACCTCAAATGGTGAAAGCATAACAAACAGATTAGACACTAGCGTAAGATTACTGCTCGCCACCAGGTCTGCAATGTGCGGCGACCAGGGGAGCTCTGGGAGATTAAGCACCCCTCCGTTCCCTCTTTCTGCAACTGCTGCATGTGAATGCAGGCTCGTACCCCGTCCGGCCGCACATGTTGCTGTTCAACCGAGCCCACTCGCATGCCGTACTGGCGTTTGTGGCTTCGGGTCATGTCGTGATTTTCCGCTCTGCGGACCGTCAGCCGTTGGCCTGCTTCCGCACCACACCAGGCTTCAATGGCCTGCGCCAGGCGCACGCTGGAATCCCCACCGGGTAAGCGTCGGCAGCTTAGCCCATGGCACGTAGGAAATAAGGATGACACAGCATCTTACTTCCGTAAATTCGGGACACGGGAGTTCATGTTTCCGTTGCGGACAGAAATGTGATTTGTGGTATGGTATTTTCCATTTATGACTTGCGTATGAGCTATGACTTGCGTATAACTCCCTTCCTTCAGAGACGACAAGTACATCGTCGTGGCGAATCAGAACGGCAAGAAGGTTGAGCGGATCAACGTCGACTGGGAGGTACATTGGGAGGGGGGCATCAATTACTGCCAGCGCCATCAAGACCAGCGTTAAATCCTTCAAACAAATAATTCTTCATCTGTAAATGTTTATCGTCTATGTAGAGTGCCCGTAGAGTATCTTAGACAGGAATTGTTTTTTTTCATGATTGCCAAGGCACAAATATGTATACAATTAAAATTACAGACCCTGCTGCACTCAGTCAGAAAGTGCTTGTATCAGCTTGTATTGTGCTTCCTGTATGCCTTACGTCTGCGTAATAATAACTTCTTGACCGGGAGGTTGACCGGGAGGATGTACCTTTATAGAAATTAATAAGTGGTGATGCCTTAACAGGTCGTGATTGTGCATGTGTACATCTTTCTCCCTCGCTCTTGCCCTACCGATCCGTCCTCTCATTGGCATGCAGAACGAAGTATTCAAATATGACATGAACGCAACATTTACAATGTACGGCAACTGCACGACACCCAGCAACGCACCCTGTGAAGACCCAGGTATGCACGTGCACCACGTAATCGTCAGCAGCGATGGTGCCCTTACAGCTCAGATCTTTCCACAAGCTTCCCGCATACCACCTACATGCCAGATTGCTTTCCTTTTCCTTGTGTATAGTCCCAAGATGCTTGTGACACGTTGTTAGCGCTAGCGTTGCAAAGACCGCGTGGCATGCCCGTGTGTGCATTTGTTGTGAATTGTGAATTGTTACAGAGTGGGAGGCTTTGGGGGCATTTGAACACAATGCCAATTCTACGATTTACCACACCATAGAGCTCCATCCACCATTACCACACTGTACTACGCCATACGAACTGCAAGTCCAAGGCGGTTAATCCTGCTGACTAGGACCACTCCGCATCCATTCACCCGAACATCCGCAGCGACAGAGGGTTCAGCAATTTCCACTAATCCAGCGTGCGAATCTCGATCCATCAACTGTGATCTCAACTCTACACCTCAGCAGCTAGCCATAATTTTACGCTCCCGTCAACGTCGGGGTCCTCCCCAAGAATTGAATTTAGGACCTTAAACTGCATAAGACTGTACTGCCGCCAGACCACCATTTGCTGTATTCTGGGCATATCACGGCAATTGCATCCGCCAATCGGTACTCTTCTGTAGCATCTGTAGTCGTGATATAACAGCATTGTACGGCGGGCCATTGACCATCATGTCGCCTGCCGCCGCTCTCCCGCCCGCCCTCCGCACAGTTCTCCGCCCGGATAATGCGCCGATCTGCACCCCGCCGGGCAACCCACCGCTGGCCTTCATAACACTGCGCGGCGGCGGAATGTTTGTGCTCGACTACACAAAGACGCCGATGCAAGTCGTAGCGGAGTACGACAAAAATCACATTGGAGCCAACGGATGCGGCGGCGTCGCAGCGGGCAATTACATGTACGACATGAGAAGCTAGACTAGATACCAATAATACATGCGGATGGGGGCATGCGTGTTGGGCACTTGTTGACTTCTGTCCGTGTGTAGCCCGTGTACATACGGACATGGAAACAAAACAGATACGTAAACCTTGTTAAAGTCTCCTGGCTCCTGGTGCCGCAGTACAGTCACCTTCGACCCTGCCGTTCATGTTCCTTGCCGGCGTAGGTACATCAACTCTGGAGGCGGCACCCCAAACAACCTGTACGAGTTCAAGGTACGGCACATTGATTGTATCATGCAAATCGGAAATGCCGTACATTGCCTGGCGGAGAGGCATGCGATGCGCAATAAATTATTTCCTGTTGTGAGTGGCATGCAGGTATACAAGCTGCCCCAAACCGGCTACGCGGCAGGCAACCCGCCCAACACGCCCGTTCCCAAAGTGGTGGCTGACGACAGTACAGGTGAACGGGACGCGCACTACGCGGGCGTCACCTACAATCAAAAAATGTGAGTACGAGTCTTACTCATCCACCCAGCCATCGATGTATACATGGCGAGATCCGAGAACCTGGGTGTCGATCTAGGTGGGCGAGCTAGTACAGATTCGTGTGCAGGTTGCGCCCGAGATCCATGCATTCATTCAGGGTTTAAATCCGCAATGGTACGAAATTCTATGCAACCAATCGACCTATTGGCCTGCAGTTTTCTTATGGTGACCCAAAGGATTATTCTACATAACTGCCGTACCGCGTGTCCTGTTTGCCGTACGTTGTCGCTCCTAAGGGACTGTAGTGCTGGGATGGGGGGATGTACATCTCCCAATGAGTTTTACACCCCCTTAGTGACAATTATGAGATATGCGGCACCTTTGGAGAGTAAATTTAGCCTGGGAGGTGTTGATGTGACTTTGGGCTCGGTGTATGGAGGCAGCCAAAGTTGTTTGTGCTCATACGATCTTTGTTGGCTACAGGAGAGGTAACTTGAAATACAGAATGCTGAATGAATGAATGCTGAAACCAATAACGCCGGTCAGCCAGGCGAGATATTATGTTTGGTCCGTTACACACGCACACACACACACACACACACACACGCGGCCACACGGACATGGGCAATCCTACAGAGCGGGGTCCCCCTGGGCGCTTCACGCTGGGGCCCCGCCCAAAACATACACTGGCACCCTGGCTCAGCCAGGATCTGCAACCTATCCTATCCTTTGGAATGCGTGCTGGATGCGTGCTGTGTTCCGTGCGCAGAAAGGCCAGCTATTTCTGGCAGCCGGACAGGGCTCAAAGCGTCATCGACGTATTTTCTTTCAAGTCTGACAAGTTCGTGAACCGGATCGATCTCAAGGCCACCAACCTTTCAACCGACCCCACACCGGATGCACTGGCCATCTCGCCGCTAATGGTGGGTGCGGAATAAACTGGCTGGGTGGCATTATTCGCTCTTGGTGGGTTCGAACTTGAGCTGTTTGTCATCGTACCGCCGTCAAGGCTGCTGGTGCACCTGGTGCGACACTCCACAGCTGGTGGCATGCACATACATACATTCACACATACCAATCAAAACGATCACGCGTGCACACCTCCTAGCACGTACGTATTGCAACTGCCCACACCCCCACGCAGGACTATGCCTTCGTGAGCCTCCGCGGGCTGTACCCAATGTCCGCGGACCCGCACGTCAGCACGGTACGTTGGTCACAACGGTTTGCGTGCGCAGCCGCCCGATGTGGGGCCTTTTGTTTCCGCCCGGGAAAGGCTTTTGCATCTGGTGACAGGAAGCGTGTGCGTATGCTTTTGCAAGTGTGCTACTGATTTATTATTGTGCCTCTGCCGTCTGTTGGGAGAAAGCTATGTTAAACACGTGATTTGCATGTCCGTATCCGCGCAGGGGAGCTCTCCAGGCCTGGGGATTCTCCGGGTCATCCATTCTGGTCGGAGTGCGCAGCTGAAGGCTATCGTCCCCATCGAGAACATGGTCAATGGCACGAACCGTGCTGACCCGCACGCGCTGGGCTTGTACGTGACTAGCGCCAACTGTCCAGAGGCATATGGCTTCCGGCGGCAGCTGCGCGGTCGCAGCTGATTGATTAAATTAGCAGCAGTGCAGTTCTGTTGCTACGCGGAATAGTGGGTCCAGCGCTTATAAAAGGGACCCTTGATATAGCTCCAGCAGCTGCAGTCGTCTGTACAATTTTTGGTCGCCTAAAGATGGCAACCTTATATGAAATCGAATGGACGGTTCCTATATAATATTCCACGGAACGATGGATAGACGATAAAACATTTTCAGACGGTAAAAGAAGGCTCTGGACGCATACGGACTACCTATCGTTTTAACGTTTTGGGATCCTGTTTGATGCGGGCGTGTGTGTACATGTTGTCGTGCATTGTGCTATGATCTCACGGTAAGGGATGGAGCAACTGCTCATGCTCTTGCTCCCGTGATTAATATCTCGCAAGATATCGGAGCAGCACGTGACGCAGTACAGAGCACAAGAGGTGGTTAGTGGGTGGGGCCAGCCATACAGCTCCAGAAGGATAGAACCACCGATGCTTGGCTGCTAGGCGCCGAACCAGGTGCTGTAGCTTCTTGTTGTATGGCATCAGGCCGTTGAGGGGTGCAAGGTGTAGCTGCGTTTCTTCAATGTACGGAGCCTTAGGCCTTGGGAGCCGGGTTGGAGCCGGGTTCGGGCCGCTTCTCTGTTTTTTTCACGGATTTGCAGTTTCACTTTATAATTTTCATTACGTTTGCTCCGCTGATAGGAATGACATCGACTCGTTCAGCATGGGTGCAAGTAGCGTCAATCAAGTAGTTAACGACAAACGACCATATCATTGCCCCTGATATATAAATTGGACCTCCTTTGATGTCACGGATTTGAAGAAGTTGAATGCAAGTTCAAAAGTTAGTGTCCGAGGCGTTTCCACTGGGCCCTTCGGCTTTTCGCGTACGGAGCCCCTTTACGCGATTTCTTTATAAGAACTTTTTACTTTCGAAAATTTTATTTAACTAGTTTCTTATCGCTTGTATAATTTGCTGAGCCAGGTGTGAGATTTTTTAAACTTAATGTTAGTGTGCGGCCAAGTGTGCGGCCAAGCACTATTCAACAAGTTTGCCACCCCGTAATACCTTTCTCAACGGATGGTTTTACCTTTAAACAGCAAGGTGGAACTGCGACGCAGCTAAGACGTGAAGCCGACGCAAGCGACGTCCGCGCGGGATGAACCTTAAAAGCGAAACCAGTCAGAAATGCAGGACTGTACCTTTTTGATAAGGTACTAAAATTTTCATAGCAAATTGAAGGCGATCTGGTCTCTGGTGAAATATAATAATCACGGCCCAGTATACTTAATAACGTTCCTTTGTACTGGAGGACAGCACCGGGGTATGGATTACAGAGAATGAACGGTTCGGTGTTATGTTAAGGCTTATCACAACCAGTCATGGTGGTGTCGAAAGACACCGGATGCGATACACCAGCGAAGATGTAGCCATCCAGTGTACGACCCGCACTAATGCACGACGTCGCAAAAAAGGAAGGTCTTGAGAATAGCTACGTGAACCCCGTTGAAGAGAATCATCCAGAGATATGTAACTGCTCTTGCACGTTACATTCGGGGAGTATGTTTTACACCGTCGTTCATCATTATGCCTTATAAGCTTACAGCTTTTACAGCATCAGAACATTTTGGAGCATGCTGAGAAAGTACCAAACAAAAATGCAAATTGCTGAGATTGTGACGGGGAGTTCCCCGTGTGAGGCCTTGCGCCGTTCGTTTTGGGGTCCCCGTTCCGTGACTTCTCACGTGCACGGGGACCCATCCGTAGCTCATTTATTGTCAGGCAGAGAATCGTTAAATGTCCAGCAGTATCATCATAATTACTTCTTCTTAATTAATCGTTTTTGCACATTCATAATGCAGGGAAAGTGAAGCATTATCCCCGACAGTCAGACAGGTCAGACAATTTCCGTTGGGAATTTCAACGGAGCAACGATTGATATGTAACTTGGCGGCGTTTCAGGACTACAAGAAAATCTTGTTTTTTCCATGAAATGCAGGATGGAGATCGCAGCTCGTAACCCTCGTAGCGCCAAATTCAATAAGCATGACAGACAGGCCCTACTTCAACATGCTGCAGGACCGTGAAGGAAATTAAACGGTATCAACTACAGGACAAGACCAGTGCCAAAACGGAAACTCAGCGAGGTGACAATCGTGTGATCACGAGACCTGAGAGCTGTCTGAGGGCATCTATCGGCGCGTAAGGCCCATTTACAACGTTTGCCAATCATAGACATAACAAATTGCAGCATTTCGAGGTTTCCGACAGTTATCGGAGGTCAGGAAAGTCGAAAATGGGAAACTGTTGCGCAGCCGCAGTACAGGTTTCAGCCCGAGCACTGGACAGACTAAAATATAGACGAAGTGTTAGGTTAGCGACATTTCATAAAATTAGCCTTGTGCACGCGCTATGAAAGGGCATAGGCTCCGTTTCTCGTTGGGATGCCACGATGATTACAAAGAGGGCCGAGCGACTTAAGCCAGCTAACAACCTACAAGATGTAACAATGATGACATAACAAACTAAACAACAACAACGACTTAAATAGTTATCCAGAGCCTAGGCGGCGCCGGAAGGTCGTACATTATCCGTATCTCAAATGATCGTCCACGAGTAAAGTTAACGACTTAACAACTAACAAGAAAACCTAACATGCCCCCCTGCTTAGCTCAAGCATCGGCCTCGATGCGACCAAAGTACAAACTATGCTAAGTCGTGCGCCGCTCCGATTCCCTGAACGAAATCGGTACCAGGCTAACGAGGGGAAGGCAAAAGGGAACCGGAGTCAAGGCAAAACCTTCCCCGCACTGGATACCGGCCTAAATAAGGCGCACGACACCTATACTTGCCGGTCTGAGGAACCGGTATATATCCCAACGAACGTGTCCAAAACATCCACAAAGAGTACGCAAACCAAAAGCCTAAGGCACGGAAAGCAAACTCGGTGGATGACAAAAGAACGCAAGAGAACGCGAAAATACACAACATGCAACACGCAATACCCCGAAAAAAACAGAAGTCAAGACACGACACGCGCAAAACTGAGGCGAAATAACCCAAACTGAAACACACAGGACACGAGTCACACACAACACACATCCTATGCGTAGCGCTAGGTTGTCACGAAGTGCACTATCCTCGGGGCGCGTTCCGGAAACTTCGCTCTGAACCAGGCATAGCGGTCGGACAGCTTAAACGAGGTCCAGGCTGGGGTCGCCAGGAAGGCACGAAGTGCTGGAAGGCTGCGTACGTCATCGTACGGTTCCCAGGACGCGTCACGGCCACTGGCGGTAGACCACTGAACTAGGAACATGACGGACGGCCGACCACGTCGGTTATAACCTAGGCGAACTGCAGTAACGATAGTGTCGGCGTGGTCGTACGGTGACTCCAGTGTGATGGGCACGGCGGGTGGAGCTGGAGGACGACGGTGAGAAGGCTGGTGATAAGATTAGCAACAGTAGGTTGAGGTGAAGGGCAGTCCGATGGTTGGGGCAAAGGTGCTGGATGGGGACTGGAGAAATGAACGATGAGAGTTCTGACAGACTTGAAGGCGATGACGGATGGTTGGCAGAAGATGGTGAAGGATGGGACGAGGTGGAAACGGGGTGAAGGGTGGTATCAGGGAACAGGGTGGGGGATGAAGACGTGAGAGTAAAAGGGTGTAATCGCTGTTCGCCTGGAATGCTCCCGTCGTTGTCGAGGTTGCAGCTGCACGAGCACACTTGCAGCCGGCAAGACGGGCAGGCTTACGGACGATTTTCGCGAGACGAAGAACGTTGGTGATGACGACGAAGTAGGTGACGACGGAGACGACGAGATAAGAGGAGACGAAGACGACGAAGTAGGTGACGATGGAGACGACGAGATAAGAGAGGACGAAGACGGTGCGCGAAAGCATCCAGTCGCTGTCCACCCGGTGCGCTTCCGTCGTGGAGGCTGCAGCTACACGAGCACGCATACAACCTACATGGCGGGCGGGCTTACTGGCGATCTGGGTTAGGCGCGAAACGTTGAACGGTGACGGCGGCGGGGTGTCAGACTCGGCTGACCGTTGCACAGCAAAACGCACCGGCAAGCTGTGGCTAACCTGTTCTGCCGGTGGTGGCTTAAAGGCCACGTTGACGGGATCGAGGCGAACGGCGGCGGCGGCGGGGTGGGTCGGCGCGGCGGTGCTGGTCATCGCGGCAAGGCTGGGGGCTGTCTGAACTGGAGAGAAAGGTGCGTCCACGGTCGTTGTCCTGACGACGGCGGTCGGAATTGTCGGTGCGAGTCGGAGAGGGGGAGGGGGAGCGGGAGGGAGAGCGGTTTGCGGTTCGAGAGGTGGTGGAACGAAAGGGCGAGCGGTCGGTGGGGACGTTGATGGTGCAGGTGCCCTGCGGTAGCGAATGCGGTGAGCGGTGAGCGGCATCGTGCTCCATTGAAATGGTGCATGCAAGGTCGATCACATCCTGCAGTCGTATGTAGGAACCCGGGTTGCGTAAGTGCGAGAAGATCTCCTTCCTGAGGTCGTCCTGCAGTCCCTGCGCGAAGAAGAGGACGTGGTCCTTCTCGTGGCGGTACGGCAGGTCAGCCATAAGGCGTTGGAATTCCGCAATGTAGCATTGTAAGGAGTTTGGTCCGGAACCCTGCGTCAAGGCAAACATAGCAAGCTGCGCTTGATAGAGTCCCGTGATGGGGACGGGAGCCATCGGAGGATGACGAAGACGAAGATGACGAAGACGACGATGACGAAGATGACCAGCGGAGCGAAGACGAAAGCGATGACGACGAAGACGATGAAGACGAAGGCGGAGCGAAGCGTATAGGCCGGATCGTCTAGATCGATACCAACTGAAAGGGCATAGGCTCCGTTTCTCGTTGGGATGCCACGATGATTACAAAGAGGGCCGAGCGACTTAAGCCAGCTAACAACCTACAAGATGTAACAATGATGACATAACAAACTAAACAACAACAACGACTTAAATAGTTATCCAGAGCCTAGGCGGCGCCGGAAGGTCGTACATTATCCGTATCTCAAATGATCGTCCACGAGTAAAGTTAACGACTTAACAACTAACAAGAAAACCTAACACGCTAGCAGTCCTCAGGCCACCTTTTCTGTGTGTGTAGCACGTTCTAAGCGTCCACAGGAATGACGAGCGTCGTGCGCGCCGGAGTGATCGCAGTGCTAACCGCAGCCTTCATTGCCCTGATAAGGAGCACAAGCGCCTCCTGCAATTATGAAATGTAAGAATCCGCGGGTGGCTGCGAGCTGTCGGTTGCTTCGCTGCCTGCGAATCCGACCTCGCCCGCAAACCACTTCGCTGATCGATATGCAGATGGATTGTCGACCAAGCGGACTCCAACAATGGAACGGCACTTATTGGCTATGGCGGGTGAGCTCCGCCGGTAACAAGAATCAGCACTTTCCGACACCACGCTTCATCGCTGCAAACATCATCTAAACAGGTTTAATCCACCACCTTGCTTCGCAGATACATCTACATTTTCAAAAGCCGCGACCTGAAAAAAGCCCATGAAATAATTGACCTCGGCGGTGAAGTGTCTCGGCTCTGCTTCCAGCAAACAGGTATGTTTTCATGAATGGAAGTAGCTGAAAAGAATGACAAGTCGGGTGTCGGCTTCCTCGAAGCCGAAAAAAGGGCGGGCCCCCCTGCATCCACACAGGCCGGTATGAGCTATGAGGGGCCACCTCTCACGAACTCGCGTTCGACCCCCAACTCGCTAGTCTGTACTTCCAACATCTTCCCGATGCGAGTGCAACCCATGCAGCTCTGCTGGCGGCGACGCATTCTGCACTGCAGAGCGCCGTGGAGCGGTGCAGTGATGAGGCCGCCTGTCCCCGCTGTGGTTCCTCAGGATGTTGTGCTGGCTTTTCTCCTATCCCCATCACGGTCCTGCTGGGACAAACCCATGGCTATCAGCCTTCCCCAACTGATCTGCATGCACTGCCGTGCACCTTTCACCATTCGGCCAACCGCTGTCGACTGCCTGCCGGATACAGC